ACTTAATAACCTATTGTCTTATTAGTTGTTACGATTGCTATTTCTTAACGCTAGTAACTTTAATAGCTAATTCTAGCTTTATTTTATAGATATATAGCTCAAAAATATAGAAATACTTATTTTTTTACGCATTTTTCTTATAAGTTGCGGATTATTTTAATATAGCCATTTTAATCCCCCTATCCGGATATATAGGTTGAGAGTTTATATAGGAAAAAAACCATTCTGATATTAAAATTCGCGGATCTAGGATGTTAGGAAATTGTGGGGCACACGTGATGGTCGCATAGCGGGTCATAATAAAGACGAAAAGAGAATACGTGATAACTTATCATTTACAATAGTAAAGGCGCTTCTAGGAGGGAATGCCATAGTCGTGATCTAGTGTTATGTGAATAATGTACACCCATCTATAAATGAAATCAATAGTTTCACACGTTCATTTATCGTCTCTACCGCAACGTTTTGGACTACAAGTACGTGCATCTAAGTCACTTCTATTGATGTATCCGTATATGTTGATGGATTCTGCTCTCTAGTATCTGGTCTCTCTTCTCCGGTATGTATCTGCTTGGTGATAGCGATGAACGAGCGAACCCGAGCGGCAAGTTGCTTATCTTTCCGATTAGTCTGGCGGCAGATACGTATGCATGAAGTATGCATGAATAGCGGAACTGACAACCCAGGGGTGCAAACTCTGCTTCGTCACATCTTGCCTTTTCCTATATATCTCAGTTCACTGCCCGGATATTTTGTCCAGACCAACCTTGGCCGCATATTCCAGCCCCTCTGCTACCTCTTGAGGCTTCGAAAGGAATGGCGAATGGGAGGCCTTAACATGGAAACTGGGTGCATTTGGGCCCAGGCTCAGCGCTAGGCCCTGTTGTATCGGCAACGGCAGGGCTTGGTCGTCATCGCAAAAGAAATAGAGACAGTCGATGTCGTGCCAAGGCTCGTAGGTCACAACATCTGTGAACACGCGGCGAGATTGGTGCTTCAATGCAGAAAGGACTTTCTTCTGAGTCTCGGGTTGTACGTCGTGATAAAATATCTTCTCGGGAGTATCGGCGTAGACGTATTCTCCCTGCGAACAAGAACTATCAGTCAGCTTGCTTCAACTGAATCTTGCCGTACCAATTCCCCATTACTTACATCAGCCCTCATCCACGGCAAGAAATTGCCCCCAAGCATTTGAATAATGCTCCCGTTGAGAGGAGTGACAAAGGCCGCCAAGTACACCATGATGATGACGCCGCCAACCTTGCCGTCGTTCTGGCGCTGCTTGTATCCCAATCCTTTGACCGCGTTCGCAATGACAAGCCCACCGTAAGAATGTCCCACCAGCACAATCTTCTTGCCCTCGTCGGCCAGGCGCTCGAGCACAGAACGCACGGCGCTTGCATCGTCAGCCAGTCCCTTTGTCGGAGGCTCAGCACCGACAGAAGGATACTCTACAGCCTCTGTAAGCCAGTCCTTGGCATGAAGTGCATCACGCAAGGCGTCGAAGCAGTCTGCAGTATGCCAAGCACCGGGGGCAAGGACGATGGTAGGGCCGACAGTAGACATGGCTGGTAAGTGAAATTATGGACGAAATATGTGACGGTTGGAGAGAACGATGGTTCAAGAGGAAGGGTAGATATTACAGCCGAATATTAAATATCACTCGGACTGTGGTGTCGGAGTTGAGGAGACCCTCTCTGGAAAGCCCCGTATTAGTTCGGCTTGCCATCTTGTCACAATAACTGGGGACTATACAACTAAGCAGGCTTACCTGAAATCCTATTCCCACTTAGTATGGCACCGAAGCAGGATTCAACGTGCATCTAGGGCGGTGAGATAATAAATAGAAAACCAATGTAATGTCATAGCCATGTAATGATTGGTGGGACTGTTGATATAAATGGACTGCCATCTTAAAGCCGACGTGATGAGCCGGTTTTTGTATGGATGTTATTAAGGAGGCAAAACCCCTGACCATAGGCCCAGTCTACGGGAATGACAAGGGAAAAAAAAACCCCTATAAGCCAATATGGGGCATGGAATATAGAGTGTATGCTGTTGACCTGGGACACTCCTTTTATACCAATCGAAGCCCTCATCAAACCTTTAATGGTTCGTTGCAAGTTACGTCTTTCCTGCCATACCGACTACCATCGCAGCCTTTGACTAGTTCCTCACGAGAGATACTCGTTCAGTCCCGAATCGATGGCGGTTCCGGCCATGCTTGAAGCCCGCGACGACTTACATGCCAATCGAGGCCCGGAACTGACGAGTACCACGATAATAGTTCTGGTACTATCATTTGTCTTTGTTGGGTTGCGTTTCTGGTCGCGCTATATCCGCACCGGGTATGGTCTCGATGACTGGCTGACGGTTGCCGCACTAGTACGTTTTCCCCCCCGTCATTCTACGAGATAGATCTAACTAAATGGTTGTGCCACAGGCTTTCGTTTGCGTTTGTTCTGGTCTTAACTTCGCCAGTAAGTTCAACTCTCAACATAGAAGTGTCTCTGATCTGACCATTGCAGTGGTGAGCTATGGGCTCGGTAAACATGCCGCAATTGTGCCCGCGGACGACCTGGTCATGTTCTTGAAGCTCCTTCTATCGTTCGAATGCATGTACGTCACGGCGGTCATGTTTGTCAAGCTCTCTCTACTACAGATGTACTTGCGCATATTTCCAGGTCGCCGTTTCAAGATTTGGGCAGCTATCATTGCGGCCATCGTTATTGGATGGTGGATCTCCATCGTCGCCGTCTCCGTCTTTCAATGCAACCCGATTAAAAAGGCCTGGTTTCCGTTGATCGACGGTACGTGTATCAATCTCAAAGCCTCCTTCATAGGCAATGCGATCCCGAACATTGGAACAGACGTCGCCATCCTGTGCATGCCGATGACGCAGATATGGAGGCTTCATATCAACCTTGCTCAAAAACTCTCCCTTTGTGTCATGTTCCTTCTCGGAAGCTTGTTAGTGATCCCTATCAATACTGCATCATCGTGTCGCTAATCCTTCGAGCTGCTGGTAGCGTTTTGGTTGCAAGCATATACAGATTTACGACCATCATGCAATTCGTACCGGCCGACACAACATGTAAGTGCATATTCTCACTCTCCTGGGCGCAAAGGTGGCATACTTACTTTCCGGTAGGGACGCTGGCGACCGCTTGTACATGGTGTGTCGTTGAGGCAGCTTGCGGCACTATTGCTGTTTGCTTGCCTACCTTGCGACCGCTCATGCAACAGTTGACAGTCAAGTTCGACAGTATGACGAATAGCAAAGGAAAAAGCAGTGGTCGAGGAGAGACGCAACCGACGGAGCTCATGACTATTGGTGGAACCGGTGGCACGAAGAGCAGACAGAACTTTCAACGGTTGAACAACGAGTTCAACCTCGAAACTAACCATCCCAACTATTCCAACGAGGGCTCAACAACGGCACAGAATTTTGGCCAAAACGACGCAAGCTCCGGGGACGAAGTTCCACTTCACAAGGAAGCATGGGTTGCCACAACCGAGAGCCTGGGAGGCAAGAAGTAGTCTACTGTACCTGCTGTGGTTCCTCTAGGCTTTGTCAAGCGAGCCGTTTACTCTTCTACGTATTATTGATTTTCGCAACTACATACCATCTCCTGGTGTACCATATATCATGCATAGCCTTGCTTTTCAACTAGGTCGTTGAAGTTCGTTTAATCTCTACTCGCCAATTTTTGGCTTGCAATCCCCTTTTTACGAACTCGGTCCCTATTGAACCCAGGTTTGCCTGACTTCGTACCCTATCATGTACGACAGTACACACCATGTGGATAGACACCATATTGTCTACAAAGCATATTAGAACAAATGTGATAGAAGACATGCGTGAGTTCCGTTGAAAAAACCGACGCATTCTTGGACTGATATGTGGTGCCAATTGACACTCAGATGGACCAACTTTCATAGGCTGCGCTTGACAATCTTTTGATCGAATAGAGAATCTCATCAGTATTTTATTTGCGTGCTCCTCTTTTTTTCTCATTTTTCTTCTTCGACGTGGCTTACTACATCCGTCGCTTGCTCCTGCGTGAGCGCCAACTTCCCGGTATGGACCGGCGATTATGAAAACGTAACTGTCCCCTCTGTTGTTCGTATCTGTCACTACCCCTGAGACACGCGCAGGGTCAAGTGAGTGATATACCCATCAGCAAGTGCCACGATCACTCGCTGGTTGTGGAGCCAGATTGCGCTGTACTTGTACGTCTAATGCTCGGTATCATCTTATGTGGCGTATTATGAGTAGCAATACGCCCCTAAGGGTCCTCCTTCCAGAACCCCTCCCCATGTATATCGATGGCCATGGAATTGAATACAAAATCTGGATATCTCATTGCCATCTTGGTCTGTCCCTTTGTAGTATTACAGAGTACATAGTGACCCGAATTTAGCTGTGCGCATACTTGAAACCACGCCCTGCAGAATCCCCAAAGAAGCATCCGTTAGGTTACCGCAATACCCTCAGGGAAGCATGAGCGGTAAGTAATGTCCCAGTCTACTCGTAAAGTTGATATCTGCGGCGCAGAGGTGTCCGTCCAGTACGGATATTACATAATATACAACGTGCCATGGCACGAGCCGAAACTTGGCGGATGGGGCCCGGCTGGGGCCGGTGGGGTGGACCAGGTCTAGGCTCGAGGGTTGACCCAAAACTCCACAACCATACGTCGTATGAGATGTACTCGTACATATTCTACTGGTTGGTGCATGCTACTCCGTACGACACATTAAATTTCGTTTGTCAAAGCGCTCGATGAACTGGTTCTTTCATCAAACGTAGTGACCTGCTCTCCCCGGGAGCCTCTCGTAGAATTGCGGGTTTTCCTTTTATATATAGAACACGATACGAGACTATCTCCGTCATTTCCCTCTGTCATTTCCGTCATTACAAATTTTTCGGTTCTACATACGAAGTACATGGCTTTCCGGCCTACATATTGTTGTACATCATGAGTAAAAGTGTACCTCCATGTGTGCGTGGAGTAATAATACCATGCGTTTTATGCCAGGCAGTAATGGCACACCATTCCTAGTTTATCGGTTCATTCCATCGTATATTAAAAGAGGTGTTGTATAGAGAATGAGAAGATCATGGAATTGATGTATGACGACGTAGTTGCCCACCCACCACTGCCGTATTATGTGAAACTCGCAAATGTCTTCTAGGCTAATTTACTATATGTTGAGCGGAATAATATGAAGGCGTGAATCTCTTTCGACTATTTTCATCTCCAGCTCCCCTTTGCTTCGCTTCTTTCTTTTCTTCCCCTTCGCCCCCAAGCTTGTAAGCTTGTTAGGGGTGTCTTGGCTAGCTTGGCCATTAATCTTCACGGTTCTTGGCTTTCTTGGTTACTAATTAGGGCCTTCCATTTTTGCTCTAAACCTCGACACCGTCGCTCACATGATGCCTCACTGATTTTACATGTACTTGATTGGGTTGCGCCAGATCTCGTGAGGGCGTGGCTGTCCATCGGCCCGGCCGTCCATCGGTCCGGCCGATTTCTATCACGAGTACGACAGCGGCCTCCCCCCACCCCCGCCTCCCCCGCCTCCCCCGCCTCCCCCGTCTACCACGCCCATAAGCACCCGAGATTGCCATGCAGGGCCATCGTTTCCTCCATAGCATACCATGCAAAAAGCTGAATCGTGTAGAGAAGAAGCTGAAGTGCTCCCGATGCCGTCAAATACCTCACTGATATGGTACCGTTTGTGGGGAACTTGAGGTGCTGCGCACGCCCGTGAAAGGTGTCTCCTTTTTCCCACATCCTATACCAAGGAAGAGGACACTAAGAGGAAGTAAAAGACCTCATGACGGGGCAGATGGAAAAAAAAAGGGGGGTGGTAGAGACTGTTGTTTGGAGAACCATACAGTATATAGTTAGGCCAATATTCGTCGGACCGAGCACGATCAGAAATGATCTACAATGTCTGAGCATGTATGTTCGTGGCAGATGAAAAGCTTAGTATATATTGACTCAATCATGACCACATCATGACCTTTACCATTGTAGTCAAGCCACACTCGAGTCCCTCGACTAGGATCTTATTCAGTATCAAAAAGACCCTCTTGACTGACGTGTCACACCACCTATTATGAAATTTCTTACTGTCCTCCTAGCAGTCGCTGCGCAGCTGCCGGCGCTAGCCTGGGCCGGAAGTGCTGCTGAATGGAAGTCTCGCAATATCTATTTTGCTTTGACTGACCGCATTGCTCGCTCTTCTGATGACCAAGGTGGAAGCTCTTGTGGAAACCTTGGCAATTACTGTGGTGGAACCTGGAAGGGATTGGAAGGCAAGCTTGACTACATCAAGGGCATGGGCTTCAATGCCATATGGATTACCCCCGTTGTCACCAGTAAGTCTACTGATCTCTCGATAAAATTTTCAGCAAAATAAATTCGTATTGAAATGGTTCATTTAGACTCGGACGGCGGCTACCACGGATACTGGGCTACTGACTTATATGGGACAAACGATCACTATGGCTCTGCCCAGGACCTCAAGGATCTCGTGTCTGCTGCACACAGTAAGGTACTTGCGATATCCCTCTATTGAATTATCCCTATATACAGTACCTATTTGTGACCATGTTCTATTGCACTCATGCTTACCTGTATCTCAAGGGAATCTGGGTCATGGTTGACGTCGTGGCCAACCACATGGCCAGTGGCGACATCTCCTCTTATAGTCCAGATCCTCTGAACCAGAACTGGGCATATAATAGTCAATGTGAGATCAACTATGGCAGCCAGGCCTCGGTTGAATCTTGCTGGATCGCTGGTCTGCCAGATATCAACACTAAAGATGAAACTGTCCGCAACATGCTTCAGAACTGGATCAACTGGCTCGTGCAGGAGTACGGATTCGATGGCGTTCGTGTTGATACGGTTAAGCATGTTGAAAAAGATTTCTGGCCCCCTTTTGCCAGCGCAGCTGGTGTCTATACCATAGGGGAGGTTTGGGACGGTGGCATCGATTTTCTATCTGGATATGACAATTTGCTCGGCGGCCTACTTAACTATGCTGTCTACTACCCTATGAACAGGTTTTACATGCAGCAGGGTTCCTCGCAGGACCTTGTCGATATGATCAACACAGTTGGCAGCCGTTTTTCTGACCCGACGACTCTCGGATCCTTCCTTGACAATCACGACAACAACCGTTGGCTAAATCAGAAGAGTGATACCTCCCTCTTCCAAAATGCCCTGGCATTCGTCATCCTGGCACGTGGGATCCCAATCATCTACTATGGTTCTGAACAAGGTTATGATGGAGGCTCTGATCCTGCCAACCGCGAGGACCTTTGGCGCAGTGGCTTCAACACCGACACAAACTTGTACAAAGCAATTGCTACTCTGTCGGAGGTCCGGGCTGAAGCTGGTGGACTCCCAAACAACGATCATGTCCACCTGAGCGTCGACGACACCTCCTATGCCTGGTGCCGTAACAACTGCGACGTTGTCGTCATGACGGTGAACAGCGGCTCGGGTAGCAGTGGCCAGCGCTGCTTCAACACACAGCGCTCCAACGGCTATTACAACGTCAGGTTTGGTGGCTCAGGATATCTCACATCCGACGCCAATGGATGGCTCTGCGTCAACATTTCCAACGGCCTCCCCGTCGTTCTGACCGCACGAACGTAACTGGGCAATGTTTTCCTGTAAATAGTAGCCCTTTATCCAGAGTACCTGAACCTCAATCATCAAGCCAGCTGCGGTCAATATAAGTCCGCATTACCGTGCAGCACAAGGACCGTGACTTTGGCGATTTCCGTCTGCCTCAGAAACGCCCTGTGGGGTTAGAATGGTAGTATGTGATCTGTACCATTAACACAGCTCGATGACAGTCCATTGGATCAGGTAGAACAGTAGAATCATAAGTGCCTTATGGGAGTGGTATTGGATGGTTTCGTATGTACATGTGATTAGTTGTAGCTTATCCGAAAACGCTCTCATAATTCAGACTGGTCATAATATCTATCCAATGAGGAGCTCCCCCAGACGTTTCATGGTCGTAAGACGACCATACTGCGCGCAGAAGCTTTTGCAGAATCACAATAGGTTTTGCTGGTAGGCCACGTTCAAGTTTCTCTAGCCTGCTCACGATAAATTTGCGGGCGAGGCGAACATCTAATGGGAGGGGTGCACTCGAAACGCCATTTTCCTCCGCAACTCCAATGGCGTCCATATGGGAGGCAGGATATATGGGTTCAAAACGGTTATTGGATTCAGGGTCCTCACCTATATCGCACCTGAGACCTGTTCCGATACATAGACACAAAAGCGGTTGAAGGCAGCGCATGCTAGAATCGTGTGGTATCTTCAGAAGGAGCCCGGTAATGTGTAGAGCAAGCGGTGTCAGCCATCGGGCCTTGGGCACAAGCCCATCAGCGGAGACATATTGAGGCAGGCGTCGAGACACAAGGTCCGGGAATGTTAGGTATAGCTGAAGTAGGGAGCAAAGCCTGAAAGATTCCGTCGCATAATATAAATGACACTCGATGTTGAAGTCTGAATCATCTTTTTCTTTCGATACACTGGGCACCTCAACAGACAAAAGCATTTCTTCCAGGTCCTGCCCTCTGCATATGTGTACCGTAGCTTGGCGCATGACCTCGAGTGTCGCAATGGTATTATTTCGCCAGAGTTCTCGGGACTCTCTACAGACCTTCATCGCCTTTCCCAAAAGAGATATGATCTTCGGTGGCACCCCAGTCCACGGGTGGAGGGTTAGGTCTGTCAAGGGGAGTATGTCGGACGATGGTTTGATGGCGTCTGTGTGGACTGCTTCATGGTTACTCGTGACGACGCTTCTCACCGCTTCCTCGTACGTTAGGCAATGTTTGAAGAAAGCCAGTAAGCCACGGTCATCATCAGATAGAGCCCAGGACCGCATATCCAGAACAGAGATGACAGCACGTGCTTGGACGAGATATTGCAAGCCTAATTGGCGATGATCGATCCAGTTCAAGGAAGAGCTCATGCAGAAAAGCGACATCAACAGAGCCGCAGGAATCGTAGTAATCTTGCTGGAGTCGTTGAAGAACAAGTTCAGGTCAGAGATTATCGCTCGTGTGGCCAGTTGGGGAACCGAAACGGCTATTTGACGTATATCGTCGGACTGGGTATCTGTAAGCCATGCGGCACTCATGGTTTGCAAGGAGTAGTACAGAGGTTCCGATGAGGCCCATAGTGATGACCCGAGGCGCCGAAAGGGATTATTAGGAGAGTCAAATGCGGCCCAGATGCCACATACAGACTTGAACCATATTTCGACAAGATAGGATGAAGGCCTTGATAAATGGTGAATTTGTCCCGGCCCGTGGTGGGATGAGGCTGCATATGCCGTCAAGGCAGGATGGGGGGTTTCATTTTCTTTATCAACTGAGCCGGAACCTGGCACATGACTACCCTTCTTCTTGTCCGTGGGGACTTTGGGGACTGGGCCGAGTATCTTGAGGGCCGTCTGGTCTTCTGTGACACCGTTACCTTGCGACACAGGAATTGAATGCGACGCAGCCGAGATAAGGCAGCCAAAATTGGGTGGACCAGTGGCTACACCATTTCCGTGGTTTTCATATTTGACGGACCATTTCAAAACCTTGCGATAACCCGGACACAAGATTCCTCGTCGCTGACAGTGTGAGCAGCTCGGCTTCGTCTCGTCACATTTGAGCTGCAAATAAAGAGGACAGAGGGCGATGGGTTAGCCACTATCCTGGTAAATTGTGCAGTGGCGCGACAAGAGTTGATGGAGTGACAAGGGCTTTATTTACCCTCTTGGCCTTGCAAGCTGTGCAACCTGATCGAGACTTGGTGTGGCCTTTCATGGTCGGCTCAAGCCACTCCAAAACACGCACGACAATATGTAGGGTAATAATACGTTAAAATTGGATAAAATGAAGTGAGGGATCATCAATTGTAGTGTTCTGGGTAATGGGATTCAGGCACAACCGATAACCGAGTTGAGACTCTTGGAATAGAAATTTGCGATAGAGAAAGCCTTCTTAGTCGTTTTTTTTTAATTGATGACAAGGAAAGGTAGGTTGATGCCAGATCGACGTTAGACCCTGGGTGGAGGTTGTTCAGATGTTCACGGCATAACTCGGGAGATGCGCTCTCTCCGCATACGCGGGGGGGTTTGGGGGTTTATGGGATAGATAAGGGATAACTGGGAGATCGACCAGTCTAAGCCCAATAAGGGCAAAAAGTCCCTTCTTGGAATGCAAAGCATGATGACCAGTTTGCCAATACTCCGTATATTTATCAACATATCATAGGACCATGTTCTCCAATAAAATCCAAGAACGAAACGACATGATCGTTATCCGCTTTTCTGGTGTTAGTAACTGATAGCTATTATTTCTAAAGTATTTGATTAGATCGTTATCTAACTCTCTACAAAATCATCCCTCTCAACGTCAATTGTTCGAGTAATACATGTACAGAACTGTCTTGTATCTAAGCCAGGTACAAACAGCACCCAGCCATTGATCTTGGCAACTATTCATTCATTATAAAACCACTTCTGTTAAGCACTGACAATTTTCCCCCATTGAGCACAAACCTACGCTATCGCGATCGAAGCTCCTGTGACCATAGAGGAAGCAATGGCCGCAGATATTGTTGCTGCATGGGAAGAGTGCGATCGGGTTGATACCGTCTTTATACTCATCTGTACAGTCCTTTGCTGGACAATCGTGCCAACAGTAAGTCCTTCATCTACGGAGTCCGTGTGTCCGAATTCGAGGCCTACCCCCATGACACCACGCAATAGTTCTCGATGCTGAACTCACTGATGATTAGGTTGGAATTGCCTACTCTGGCTATAGCTGGAAGCGCAATGGTCTGTCGTCTTTTATTCCGGCCATTCTCACCATCGCAGTATGCTCTATCCAGTGGTTTCTGATCGGGTACACTCTCGCGTACGGCGAAGGAGGATCGATATTCGGCCCACTGACGTACGCATTCCACCGCGGCGTTCTGTCCGAGCCCGTGGGGACAATCCCGGCCATTTTGTTCAGCCAGTTCCAGCTCGTCTTTGAAGCGACTGTCTGCGCTATCACTGTCGGCGGTTTTTGCGAAAGAGGAAGGCTTCTCCCCGTGTCACTCTTTATATTCGTAAGTCCCAGAGAATGTACATCTGTCATTGAGATTTCGGGGTTCGGTTCATTTAAACCACAAAAATCAATGATTGACTCGGAATCTCTAGCTCTGGGCCACCTTTGTGTATTGCCCTTTAGCGCACATGGTTTGGGGTGGCGGATTTTTGGGAGAGACTCTCGGGGTCTTGGACTTTGCTGGAGGTATGTTTTCTTCCTTTTACTATCAGAACCCTCCGCAGAGTGAATGGGCCTAAGTAATCCCCTAAAAATAACGTGTATTGCAACCCTATATGGATGATGGATCCTGATTGATTTGCGTAGGAACACCGGTCCATATTTGCTCAGGCGCATCTGCGACGGCTATCAGCGTTTACCTCTCTTATCCTCTATTTCGCTCTCGCAGATCGGGTGTGCGCACGCCAGGGCCCATCAATATTCACCGACCGGGTAACTCATTCTATCAGCTGCTATCCATGATAATCATCTGGGGCTCGTGGCTAGCCTTTGACGCTGGTACAACTCTGGCACTCAACTTCCAGTCTGTCATGGCTCTGTCGGTGACAAATCTTTGTGCGGCATCCGGCTGCATCACGTGGCTTCTTCTAAACTACTACGAGACGCGAAAGTTCTCGGTCGATGTTGCCTTTATGGGATCTCTCGCTGGCCTGGTCATGATTACGCCATCTGCTGGCTTTATCGACATGCCCACTGCCCTACTATTCGGAGTTGTCGGAGCCCTTGTCTGCCGACAAGCCCTGCGGATTAAGTTCACGAAATTCGCCCATCACTGGAGATGGGTTGACAATGGTGATACCTTTGCAACCCATCTGTGCGGAGGAATCCTGGCCACTATCATGACAGGGCTGTTCGCGCAGAAGGAAGTTGCTGCCTACGGAGGCATGGAAGTCGCCGGTGGCGTCATATTCGATGGTCACATTTCTCAGTTGTGGATTCAGATTGTAGAGGCCCTTGTCGGGGCCACTTGGGCCTTTACGATTTCCTTCATCATCATGGCGATCCTCGACTCCATCCCGGGATTGGAAGTGCTGGCTGTTGACCGGTATGTATGCCCCAGTATCATTGGTTTATGGCTTGGGGTGGTTGAGCTAACCCCTATTGATACAGTGAAATTATGGAAGGATTGGATCTCCATCAAACAGAAGAGCATCTTTGTTCCGAGGACTACGCGGATGAGGCAAACTACCGTCCCATCCCAAGTGCCTTGGAATTCTTGCCTGATGGCGGCTCGGAGGAGGAAGTTGCGTGAATCGCGTTGGAGGAAACGTATGCGGTATTTGAGGCTTTGTATGATTGATTGTCCATGGGACAGTATCCTTATATACCAAACACATCATGTTCTTGTAGAATTTTTTTTTTTTAAATGTGTAACATTTATTTTAGGTCCGGGTGTCTTTGATCAAGGCCAGAAAACCTCGTATAAGAATCGTGCTGCATCCTCAATAAGCTCCTTTCCCTTGGCGATCCTGCCATTTAGCGCCAAGATAGAATGTGTGCATCCCTTCAGCTCCGTCATTGTTACATCGACTCCGAGTGATTCAATTTGGTTCCCAAAGGCCACAGCTTCAGGCGCCAATATATCTTGATCTGAGTACGCGATCCAGGTTCGTGGGAGATTTCTAAGTAAGAGGTCTGGTGCCAGGTTTGGACTCGCATCCCAATTGTTAACAACTTCAGGGTTCGTAAAGTAGAGCTTCCGGTACCACTCCATCCTTTTTGGTGTAAGCCATGGCGCTGTCGGTGCATTAGGCTCCCATACACCAGCCGCCGTGGCAGTGTTGTCGACGACTGGTACAATGAGGAGTAAAGAGACGATGGGATGCTCTATCACTACACTGCCTTGGACCTTTCCCAAGGAAGGGAGAATGACACCGGAATTAGCTGCCACAATGGCCGCGGTAATTGCAAGATTTGCGCCAGCCGATGTGCCCCCAATAGAGATGCGGCTTGTATCGACGCTTCCCAGCTCAGGAGGTTGCGAAATCACCCAGTTGACGGACTCGAGGGAATCTATGACTGCAGCCGGGAATGGGTTTTCTGGGGCAAGGCGATAATCGACACTGATGACAACGGCCATAGATTCTGCCCAGGGAAGTTAGCTGGATTTTTTATGCAATGAAGCAAAAGGAATATCCTCAACTGATGCCACGTCGATATGATCAAGCAGATGGATGGGCCGTGCACTTCTCACCTCTGCAAACCCAGGAGCAAAAATCTTTTCCATCCTCTAACCCCCCAATCGCCCAACCACCGCCATGGAACCATATGAGCACAGGCCAACCCCGCTCATCAGGCGAGCCTGCGGGTATGTACGCTCTCACTTGGAATTTATCAAGCGAGACATCTCGAATGTCCCCGACATCAACAGCCGGCGAGCCGCCGGGGGGGAGAGACGGATTTGTTCTCGCGGAACCATCCCAGGTTTTGGTTTCGTCCGGTTGGACATACTGCATGTATTTGTCATGAAAAGCAACATATTCTGGGTCTAGCTTATCGCGTATGCTAGGATGTATGGGCTGCCAGGTCTTGAGATCGGTGCTTGGGCTGTTGTCACTCATGACCAGAATACAGAAGGATCGGGATACTCCAAGAAACTTATGGAGCCGAATGAAGAGCTGTGGGATTAAAAAACCCATTGCCTTATTTCTCTCGATGAAAGAAATCGACACCTTCGATGTTTCGTTGAATGACAAGCGCGTCGTTATCTGCGAGAGCATGTGGGGCGGCAATTTGGGCAACGAGGTTTGCCTGTATCTCGGTATTATTGCCCCGTCTAGAAATAAAGGCCTGCTCCAAACATGTCTAGACCATTATTATCAAGTAAAGTAGCACAGCTGAGGAGACAAGTTGGGGAGACAGTGTTGCATGGCGATGCGATAATCCCCGAGCGCATCATTACCCAAGGGTATTCTCATCTTCACATAGCTTGACGGGGAGGGCAAACATATCCCTTAGCCATCATGACAGAATTCTCGCTCCATCCAGACACTGACTCCTATGCCGCCTCGGGCTATGGGACACGCATGGGCTGGGGAAACTTCCCAGCACTTGTTCTCATCGATGTCTGCAGAGGATACTGGGCCGATAACTCGCCTCTCGACATCCGATCACATGCCCCTTCGGCTACAGCCCCAGATGTTATGCGCCGACTTCTTGCTGCCGCGCGACACGCATCGATCCCAATATACTGGACGGCAGTAGAGTACACGGAGCCTAATATGCGCGATGCGGGCTTGTTTTGGTTAAAGGCCAAAACACTGAGTGCGTGGCATGTTGACGACAAACGAGGCCTAGGTGATTGGGTTGAAGGTCTGGTGCCCGACAAAGGCGAAATGGTTGTCAAGAAACGCTACCCCAGCGCTTTTTTTGGGACAACGCTGGCTACCGAATTGAAAGTCAGGGGAGTGGACACTGTTGTTCTCTGTGGGGTCAGCACCAGTGGGTGTGTAAGAGCCTCGACTCTTGATGCCATGTGCTACGGCTTTAGACCTATGGTGAGTTTTCATCTTTTCCTGTCATTCTGTATTATTTCCTTGTTGAGAAGTGCTGAACTCTAGCGTAGGTTGTCGGGTCTGCGTGTGGAGACAGAAGCGATGCCATCCACGAGGGAAACCTGTTTGATTTGAACGCTAAGTATGCGGACGTGGTGACGGAAAAGGATGCAATTGATCACATCTCATTCAATTGGCCTCAATCCTGAAGCCCAACGGAACAGGCGTCCCCCGTACATACGAGATGATGGTAGATACATACCTTTACCTCTTTTGCTAGCACTTGCACATCAGAAGCCTCCCACCTAGGACTCTAGATGCTATTTTTAAATGGCAATTACTTCCAAACCACAATTTTGCTGAACAATAATTGCCCTATGAGGGCCCTGCTTTCCCCTCTCTTTTCTTGCTCCGTTTGGATTCCTTTATATCAAGGTACACGAGAGATAAAAGTAACAGACATATGCCACCAAGAAGAACATAACTCCATCTATAACCCATCGTTACCCTCTGGTTAATCGCAGAAACAAGTACAGTTGCTAATGAACAGTGTACAATGTTTGTCTCTAGAAATATGCTAACTCGATGTGGAAGTATACAACCGTTTTCCCCAAGGCAATAGTGATATCTAACACAAGCAGTAGCTCCAGAACTATGCTTTTGCAACACATTCACATTTAGTATTATGGTAATAATGAGTATAGCGATGGAAGTCCATCCCACTGTACCTGGGATCAGTAATATACATCCACGCATGTGTCAACGCACTATTATAATGGTCTTGCGAATAACTTGAAGGGCAAGAGGTGCCCTCATATTCACCCCCTTTTCAATACACCAGCCCCATGCGGCCAATACTGCTGTGAATGCCACCAGATGAGCTGGCATCGGATGGGTCTTTACATATTTCTTTGGGAAGTTTTCGGGTTCTTGAGTTGCATATCTGGTCTTGAGACTCCTGTAATCAGAATCCAGAACTTGACCTACAATTGTGCTCCTAAGAATCATGCCGGCATCTATGGGAAGGTAGCATAAACCAAGAACTGTCTCGGAAAGTCACGGGGTAGATGCCAGCAAATGCTGAAGAAATGGTTAACGTAATCGCGTACATGATCACATAAACAACTCGGGTGAATATCAATGTGGTCAAAATGTCCGGCATTGTAAATATAAGAAAGGGATTCATGGAATGCTTTCAAGTACTCAAAATCATTGGCGGTTGCTCCGATTTAGCCTGTACCTGAGTAATCCTCACCGGAAAACAGAATATGGACCTCCAGTTCAGATGCTCAGACAGGGCACCTAAGAACAAGAAGGAGACGCATTGATGAGACTCAAAGCCAGCCCCATGCATGATCCGACTAGGATGATCAAGCAGATAAGAAAAATCGGTCGTCAGCTATACCAGTCCGACAAAGGTCCCCATAACATTGGCGCTGCAGTTTTACATAGGAAATGGTCAGCTCAGATCATACCGACAAAATACACGACAAACACCAAGCTGAGTAAGGGGAAGTAAAATGCATATACTTACATACTCCCTGAAAGAAGAGATATATGGTTACTGATTAATCAAGTGCCTCTATGGTGATGGATGACTTTTGATAATTCCAGAATTTCAGGAAAATGTATGTTTGCCGGGAGTGGGCCGTAGAGCCCGGCAATGGCTACCATGTAAACTAGAAGCCATTTCTGTCATTTTCCATACAAAGAGTTGACACTTTTTATGGGAGCCGTCTAGGGATCTATAGCTATGTCGTTTCTGCCAGGAGCCTGGATTTCCGGGTCAGAAAATGCGGCCATACTTATGCTTCGAGAACAGCTATTTCTGCGTGAGTGCTTCGTCGAAGGGCATGGCCCAACAAATGGGTGCTGAGAAAGAGAGTTATCATGTGTGAAAATGAAGCATCCTGATTTTCAATTTCATTCCCAATGCCTATGTGAAATCGGCAGAGAGGTGGTAGGAATGAGTAGAGTAGACAGGTCGGGGAAATACCAGGGCTCAATAAACCAGTCTAAACTTTCCCTCCCTTCTGCCCTTGGGCTGTCTGTACTGGGGAGTGAAGGTACAGAGATAGAGTGACGACGGACGGTGAAAATAGTAACAAGATTGGTGAATATCCGACACAGATCAAAGCTCGCGTAAACTACCCGTTTTGCCTGTCGCGTCAATGGGGCATATGCCCGGAACCCTGATGCAGCTAAGGAAGTAACAAACGCCCGTGCTCGGCAGCTCGTAACGGGCAGGCAAGTGTCACTCTGGCGATTAGAGGGGAAAGCCGTCAGTAATATTATATGGACGAGTAAGAAATGATTGTCTTATCTCGCCGAAAATAGTTATCCACTTTTGAATCCGTTCGTTCTTGGGGGTCATATTCCAAGACCAAGGCCTCGTCGTATATACTATGGTGCATTTTTCAACAGACAATCTAGATCCACCTATCTACCGCCTATCTTGTTTACAAAAAACCCAGGGACCTTATCAATGGCATTCAATTGACAGGGACACAAGTTGTCTGAAGTATGGAGAGCCATAGAGCACGCGTATGCTCTCTATCATGGACGTATTTAGACTGGGAGTTCACGGCTTGTAGTGCTACCTTGGTTATACCATCATTCTCTCCATATCAACTACTTTCGCAATCGACGTGATACCGTGAAAGTTCCCATCTTGAAGAACACTTTCTGTCATGCAGGATCTCGAAAAGGCATGTCCTGAGGGAAAATTTATTCCCGAAGGGGGGAGCAGTCTCAACTCTCCAGATGAGGGCCTCGTCGATATTGTCGACTTGCCCGCTGGGTGGAAGGGGAAAGTCACGAAAGTTTTGGGCATAGGAGCAGTTGAACTCCGAGGCGCAGTACCTATTCCCGTCGAAGAACGCACATGCACTAGCTTCCTGAATATTGGAACATTGTGGTTTTGTATGAATGCAAACATGCTAGTAAGTGAATAACTGCGAATTTCATCGCTCCAGACCGGGAGGCCTCGCTACTTTCGCAATGAAAGAAATGGTTTAGCATGTTTACTTTCCACAGCCGATTACTTTCGGAATCCTAGGTCCTTCTTACGGGCTGGGTCTTAGAGATAGCTCTCTGGTCATCATCTTCTTCACGCTCCTCACAGCACTTCTCCCGGCATACATGAGCACTCTGGGCCCCAAAATTGGTATGCGCCAGATGATTCAGGCACGCTTCAGTTACGGGAAATGGGCTGTCTCTATCCCAATTCTGCTGAATATGGCCACTCTTACTGGCTTCTGCATCATCATGGCTGTTATCGGTGGACAATGCCTTTCTGCCGTCTCGGGAGGAACATTGTCATCTGCTGTGGGCATTGTGATTGTTACGATTCTCAGTCTTGTGATATCCTTTAGTGGGTTTAAAGTCCTGCATCTGTATGAAAAATGGGCTTCAGCTCCATCTGTCATTGCGTAAGTCATTACATCCTACTTCTGCGCTGTTATCTTCGAGGGCGTTATTTAAGATTTCCTGGGCAGCTTGATTATTGCCTGTGGGTGCGGCGGTAAACATCTCGACGAACAATCGGTGCCCACGGATCCTGCGACGGCAGCACAAATTCTCTCATTTGCTATGATTTGGCTTCTGAAGATCCCCCGATCCGTTTTTTCTATCGTCATCACAGCACTTGTCATGCCTATTTCTATCAAGGCTTCAAGTGACTTCTTTGCAAACCTGGAGAATTTCATAGCCTTGATTGGTTATTGGTCCTCGGCCTTTGTGGGCGTTTTCATTGTAGAGCACTTCTGGTTTCGCAAGGCCGACTGCTCTACGTACAGCCATGAAGCTTGGGACAACTCAGAGATGCTCCCCCCTGGAATCGCCGCAATTGCTGCATCTGTAGTTTGCTTTGGTCTTGTTATTCCTACTATGGAGCAAGTTTGGTGGGTTGGGCCTATTGCTGAGACCACTGGTGATCTTGGGTTTGAAGTGGCCTTTCTCCTTGCGGGACTTCTTTATGTGCCTTTCAGAACGCTGGAGAAGAGGATCGGTGGCCGTTGACCACATACCCGGAAGCCTTATGTTATATTGAATATTAATTTTTCGATGTTCCTGCTCATGATAATTTTGCGCCAGGCTATCAATGTGAGTAGACCGATTGTTGTCCGGGGGATACTCTTGTTCCATCCATCTCAATGTCCAACACATGCGTGAAAGTACACATGTTTTTATTAAATAAATTAGCATATATATATGATTTGGAACTAGACATCCCCCTTAGAAAGGATTGCACACTGATCTTCCTCACCCGTTGTCATAACCACGTAGTGTTGGCGCATCCATCCAAGTTGTCAGGATTGAAGTCTTCATGCATAAACGCCGCAAATTCGGCATCGAGAAGCTCATCCAAGGAAACATTCAGAGGTGCATTTCTATCTTTCGTCAATGTGCTATTCCCGTTCGAAAAGGCGTGGAAAAGCTCTTCTAGAATTTCTTCGGGAAGTCCTTGCCTGTGATCATTGGGTTGGTCTTTCGGTCCTTCGGCCGTATCGACACAAGCAATAGGAGAGACAGCATCAGATCTCAAAACCTCATCGGAGCCTTTCAGACTTTCTTCCAGGGTAGCTGTAGTATTCTCTCCCATCCCGTTCGCTCCAGCCAGAGGTGTTGCGATTTGCTGCAAGCCCTTCTGCCACTGGGAGCTTGTAGGCCACGCCACCTGGAGTTCACTCAATACATGGAGGGATTTCTGTGCCATCGGCTCTGCCTTTTGTGCCAGCTTAGGACACAATGATGGGTTCCCCCAGAGGTAAGAAGATAAAGATCCGCACATATAGACACAAAATACGAGAATCTGCGGAAACCCCTCGTCACCTGCCCTCGTAGCGATAAAAGCCTCAATCTGCTCGTGTAGGCTGCAAACATTTTCAAAAAGGTCGCTTGACGTACGCTCCCAGAATTCTTTTGGACCTTGCATAGTCTGTGTAGGAGTTGCCACGGGGCTTGCTGGGGTTTGTGGTGTTTGAACTCTAGCCTCACTTGAGCGTGTATCTCCAAAGACTGTTTCGCTGCAACGCAACACTGATAACATGTCATCCATGTATACTCGCCTGGTAACTATGTTCGAAAGCCGAATTACCATCGTCACCGATAGGTAGGCAAGGTGCAGTGATTCTGATTTCCACCCGCGAAGATTCCATATTGAGAATGTATGCTTTTCTGGAAGACTCCTCTCCAAGTCATTCAAGACTTGAATAGTCTCCTGGTATTCGCTTTCGGGTTCCCAGGGTTGAACTTTGTTGACACCTTGGATGTGACGAGATGCGCTGCGAGCAACCCTGCCCCAAAGGGTGTGTGCCTGGACGAGGCTAGCAAATAGACATCGGGAAGGAGACAGGGCTAGAGAGGGGCAGTGTATAGCTGGCTGTGTCCCCGCCAGAGCAGCCCGCTCCTGAGGATTGACACCAAAGGCAAAATCTGACTCATTGCAGGGAAGAAGTGCCGTAATATCTTGCAAGGCAAAAGGAATAGGTGATCTATATCCGGAATGTAGATTCTCCTGACTTTGAATCATCCAAAATGTCCGTCTAGCACTCTCTGACCGAACCACCTCATCGGCTGTCGCGTCTGGTCCGGGATCGTACGTCTCCTCACGATGCAGTTTCAGCATTGCAGCCATCCTTACAGCTACCCCCATATCCATTTGAGACGCATTTCGATCACCGTTCCCCAACTGCGATATCGCGAGAAGGAAAAAGGCTTGCGTTGTATCGAGTGAAGGATGGTACATCTCTGTGGGGACCATGCATCTGGATAGGTCTAAGAAGTAGTTGGTCGCGTTCCTCGCACTTCCATACCGGCGGATGAGCTTAGGAGTGAACCGTGCGGATATTGACAAGATGCAGGTAAGAAGAAACCTGCTCGTCCTCGAGGGATGCTGAACCAGGCTTTCCAGGAAGACTGCCTTGGGGAGAAATCCGAGTTGGAAGTAGGAGGTGACAAATGTGCGGCAACCTTCAACTATCTCGTCATGAGGTGGCATGACGTCGCCAAGATCTCTAGCTCTCGGGCTTTCAAGGACCCTATCTAGCCTTCCCCCAATGACGCCAAATGTCAATCTGGTATCATTAGGATTGCCATCTCCATTTATGGTGCCCTTCCGTTTGACGGGTGACTGGTCGTGAAGAACACTGCTGTCGCTTGCACCACAAGTTGGTGCCGTACCCTGAGAGTCTGTAGGGTCTAACACTTTGGCGACAACGGGTCTCCTCCGATATTGTCGATCAAAGTCCCTTTCTCCCCGTTTGGGAAAATAACATTCCGAAGCCACTTGGAGTCCAGCTTGCTGGCAGGCTTTACATGGCGGGGCCGGTGTCTCGTGTATACACTTGGTACGGTACCGGCGGCATCGGCGACATGCGACGGCTCCTCGGCGGCGTATCGAACGTGTTTGATCTGGTAGATTCGGTGGCACTGCGTCGTGGTAAAATTCACCGGTAGGTGTCGGCTCGGGTGCTGTACTCATTTTTGGATGCCGGGGAAAGACAACACAGACAAGAGGAATATATTGACCGGCAGTATCAGTGAATAGAATTTGGGCAGGTAATGGCCGTATTTTGAATGGTTGGTGCAACTAGGGATCAAGGGCATGCATGACCAGAGATAAGAGGACCGCCGGATATATGCAGCGGGTGACATTCCCCACTACGGGCGCCCGCGATAATAGCTATTGGTTAGCGAGGCTTCTGTGTTGAATGGATTCCGTGTAAGTAAGTTACCATTCGAAAACGGCCAGGTGTGGTCGAATGATATTGTGTTTAATGAGTCAGTTCGTCACGATGAATGTGAATCGACTCCTAAAACTATTGTTTGCACCTACAAAACAGCCCATTTGAACAGGTTGCTCTATAACGTATATATCGTGACCCCACGGGATACAGCTTGCAGTTCCACTGCGTACGGTAGTACACAGGAGACCCGGGATATTGTGACATGCATAGAATGGAGGTTTGAGCCGTTACATGTAGTATTTCTCGATGTTTCCAGAAACTATGCAATTCTGCCAGTTTATTCTCACCGCCCAGAGAGCCTCAGGTCTCTTCTGTTCGGCTGTAACCCTTTTCATGGCCGTTGACTCGGCCGGTACCGTTCTTATTGGGCTTCTGTTCAGCTGGAAGAGCTGGAAGCCCAGCTGCTATCAGGTCCGAGTTTACATGATCAAGATGTTGGATAAAATGTGCCTTGACACCGTCCCACTGGTTAACAGAGCTAAGGTTGAGGGACTCGCTACCCTTGCCCTTCAATGCCCAGTTTGTCAGGAACATGGGAACACTGATATGGAACATGAAAGCAATAGTATCCTCGCATATGCGTGTTGGGGTGAGGTCTTTTGTTGTTGCGTCCAGCCATGTCTCATGCGTTTCGCCATGCGGCAGATACGAAGCTTCATAGCTAAGACCTCCAGGTTCCAATGCATGGCTACTACCACCATATCGTCCATAAATGAGGCCCATCATCTCCGTACTCATGTTGCGGTGGTAGTAGGGCGGTCTGAAAGTATCTGATGTGCTGATCCATTTCGGTGTGAATACTAGAAAGTCAGAAGCCGAGACGCCAGGGATCTTGGACCTGGCGGTCAAGACGCAATAAATCGTAGGATCTGCCTGATCCTTCTCAACATTGGCCATGTTGACGAACTTCTCAATGGCGTACTTGTACGGCACGAGGTTTCCATGCCAGGCCACAACATCAAAGGGCGTATGGTCTTGTTTACAAGAATGCAAGCCACCAGCGACCTTGTAGACAATCTCCCAAGTCGAGTTGTCAACATCAAAGCTCGCCAGGGGAGATTCAAAGTCTCGGGGAAGAGCCATGCCATTTGATCCAACTGGGCCAAGTTCGGGGAGCTCATAGTGCGCCCCGAAGATCTCCTGGACGTATCCTCGTACGGCTCCATCTGGAAGTTGGACTCGAAACCTGAGGCCGGCCTGGATGACAGCCAGCTCACCAGGCCGCACCATCATCCAGCCAAGCTCAGTCTGTATATTGAGACGGCCATGTTGAGGAAGGATGAGAAAGTCGCCGTCGCTGTTACAGAATGCCCTGTTTTCCATAGACTTGTTCGCTGAGTAGATATGTATCGCGAGTCCTTCCCTCAACGTGGGGTCTCCATTGCCGCCAACAGTTTTGATGCCCTCGACGAAATCAGTTCCTGTCGATCCCGACTCCCCTTTTGATAGCGGAAATGGGCCCCAGGCTTGCTGCGAGGCAATGAACTCGACCTTTGAATTCGCTGACGAGAAACAGCTTTCAATCTGGATAGAGTATATATCAGTATACTAAAAGCAGAATGGAGTAACTTATAAAAGAGAGTTTACGTACATCTGGATTCATATCAGGCTTTGATGAAATCTCATTATGGGCCACCGAGGGCAAGATACGGTACATCCAAACATTCTGGATCATCTGCCGTGTTGCAACAAACGAAGAACCGTTCAATTGCTCTGAATAAAGGTCATATTTGACCTTCTGTGGTGCGTTTCGGCCCCGAGGGAGTACATTCGGCACTGCCTCCGACTCAAATCGGTTTCCAAACCCTGTCTGGTATGAATACGGATCATGGACAGTAGGTTGAGTGGTGTAGCCTGACGAGGCTTTAAAATGAACCATTGCGAGAAAAGAGAAAAGCCCAATTGGTAATATAGAGAATGTGTGGAGGAAGCGGCCGAAGGATGATATTGGTTTGGGTCCCGGCCAAGGTGTTGACTGGCACTTACTTGGAAGTTTCATCCGAGCGCAGAGTACAAGTAGGCTCCGGTCCTATCTGTATTCATCAGACGAGATTTGACAGACGGCAAGCCTATGACGTTCATTGTAGCGGACGTACTGTACATGGATCAATACGGGCTGTTCAATGAAATCATTGGTCCAATATCGCCGTATCAACCAAGTTTTAGAAGGATATTCTACACTGATTGCAGTTTCTTCTCGGGCACGTTGAATTGCTGATAAACAGTATCCACCCTGCGTTGCCCGTTTAGTCTCCGGCAAGATAAAGACAAAGACAAGCCGCGTGGATTCACTCCACGTGTTCCGAGAACACGGTACAATGTCTGGGCCAGAATGAACTGTTACCTGGTCAAGATGGCAGTCGTTGTCTTTGTAAATATGTGCCGGTTTATTGGCCGCGATACGGACAATTGGCTTTTGCATGTGAGTATACTCCGAATGTGACGACAGACAGCCTGGCGTCGCCATCAGTCAGCTCTAATACGTGCTGCTGCTGATATATCGTTGGCATGGAGAACCCCCGACAACCTGTCTTTGTGCAATTCAAAACGCACTCAATATTCCCGGTAACTTGGCCAAGTTTGGATGATAACGAATCGTCGTAACTTCAAACTCCTCTCTATGGCCATCCTCCAATTATTGGCTAGCCCGGCTGGTCTGGCACTCACTACACTTGGGCTGTTCCTGTTCGCAGCGCACTACCGCATCTCGAAGCGTCGGGATGCCACACTTCCACTGCCTCCTGGCCCACCCGGCGAGCCTATTATAGGACATCTCCGGGTTATACCCAGCTACAGCCCAGAATATACCTACATGCAATGGGGAAAGGAGTACGACTCCGACATATTATCATTCAACATTCTCGGCCAGCCAGTGATCGTTCTCAACTCTGTTCAGGCTGCGACGGACCTTCTCGACAGACGTGGGGGTAACTATTGTGACCGACCAAGATTCGTTTTGTTTGAGGTCATGGGCTGGGGAAAGACGTTGACATTTTTGCGATGGGGTCCTGAGTTCCGGATGCATCGCAGAATTCTACAAAAAAGTTTCCAAAATAGCAACATTGTTCAGTATCGCCCGTTGCAGCAAAGAGAGTCGACTTTGATGTTGAAGGGAATTGTTCAGAAGCCGGATGATTGGGAGAACATCATGCGTCGTTTTGCCGCAGCAATTGTGCTGCGGATCGGGTTCGGTATCAAGATCGACAGCGATGCCGACCCCTTCATTCAACTAGCCGCCGATGCTAGCTATGCTCTCGGTCACGGGGGGGCACCGGCCGGCACCCCAGTTGACTTCTTCCCCATTCTGAAATCAATGCCCTGGGTGTTCCATGACCGGTCCCTCGAATTTGCTCGGCAATGGAAGTGGGCAATCCAGGCAATCCACAACAAGCCCTATGAAGCAGCCGTGGCTTCTGATGAGAAGGTGAACTCCTTGATACAATCCCTGCTCGATCAAAGGGAGGCACAACTGGAGAAGGGACAGCTAGCGGAGCTGTCAGTAGATGACATCAAGGGCGCGGCTGGTGCCGTGTATGCGGCGGGGCAAGATACAACATGGAGCACAATGGTCGTGTTTATCCTGAACATGGTCCTGTGCCCTGAAGTGTTCAAAAAAGCACAGAAAATAGTCGATGAAGTTGTCGGTCGAGACCGTCTTCCCACATTTGAAGACAGGCCAAAACTGAGGTATCTCGACTACCTTGTGCAGGAGACACTCCGAATTTGTCCCGTGTCACCTGTCGGGGTTCCCCACCGGTCGTTAAAGGACGACACCTATAACGGTTACTTCATCCCCGCTGGGTCTTTCGTCTACGCCAATGCACGGGCAATGACTCGGGATACATCAAGATACAGCAACCCGGACACATTTGACCCGGATAGGTACGTGTCTGCGGAGGAGGGCGGCAGGGGCGAGCCATTTCCCAACGGCCAATTCGGCTTCGGACGGCGCATTTGCGTCGGTAAACATCTTGCTGAAGCAAGTGTCTGGATTGCTATCGCACAGATTCTCAGCACTCTCAAAATTGGCAGGGCTGTGGACGGTAATGGAAACGAAATAATTCCGGTTGAAGAATTGACAGCTGGTTTGACAAGTCATCCCAAGCATTTCCCCTGCAAGATGGAACCGAGGGATCAACGAAGTTTTGACGTCTTGATGGCGACGAACACAGATACATATTGAATATATTCTACAGTAATAATCAAAGGAGTTTTTCATGGTGAGCCACGTATTCCTCAGAAGCCCCCCATCAAGTGTACACAGAAATCGAAATACTACTCCGTAGCTGAACGAATTCCATAATAGTCGGCCCAGCATTTTATGTAGGGGGTAAGCGGACCCGAGTGTCAAGTGACCAGGTTGAAGTCGGGTTAGATGAGCCCGAGGGGGGAATGGGGTTATCCGTTGATGAGCGGTCTGCATCCTCCCCCCTGACGTTGTTTTAGCCTTGGCTTGGAGGTGTGACTATCATTAATATTAACCGGGATGCCAACTTCCAGGTGCCAAAGCATCAGCCGGGTAATCTTGCTTAACTCTCGTGCCGGATGGAGCATTGCAGTTCTTACGCTTCAACGAGGAATTCATAGTAAGCTTGAGTCATCAGCTTTGGCATTGATAATGTCCCTGTCCTTGAACAGATTATACAACCGTCCATCGATACTACCGACTAAATGGTCCAGCGAGGCTTCGGAAAGACTCGATTTCAATTCATACCCCGCATTCAGCATCGGGGATGAGAGTCCTTCGTAAAAGCGGACACACAAGCTAAAATCAACTATCCGCATTGTGAACCTTGGTTTATATCATTCTACAGCCAAGCATCCCCTGCAGCTTGACGACAGTCGCCTTTACACCCCGCATTCTGTCCCCGCAGACCATTGGATGTTTTAGCCTAAATTCTTTTAAACTTCTCAATTCTGGGGTCGCTCAAGCGAAGCTCCCATGAGCAATGATACGAGGCTGCGAAGTAAATTGGAGTAAATTGGATAAATAAGCTACATTTCCCCTTTTCGTAGGATAGCTATACTGAATCACGCGGACAACGGTCCTCCAAATATATTCTTAAAGTCATCCCCGTTCGACGATGAAGCCACTTTATGCATTTGTTGGACTACTCGCAGTAGTCAGAGGAGAAGATGGCCTCGATGGTTGGCTTCGATATTCTAGACTGCCCGACAGTCTATTAACTGACGAAAACCTTGATTCGACCCCTCGAGTTATCGTCACCCTGAACGCGACAAGTGGCGGTCCACTAGAGACGGCCGCTAAGGAACTTCAGACAGGCATACAAGGGATCCTTGGATTGGACTTGAGCACTGATTCAAACTCTTCCACATGGGAAGCCTCCAGGAGTATTATTCTGTCTACTGCAGATTCCTACGACAATCTCCGCAGCGAGAATTCTATCTCAGTCACCAAGTTGGATGGGCTTATCAAGGATGGATTTTACTTGAGCAATATTGGAGAGAATGTCTACATCATTGGGTCCAACGAGCGTGGCGCTCTTTACGGCGCATTCGAATACCTATCCATGCTGGCGCAGGGAAATTTCAACAAGGTAGACTACATCACGAATCCCGACGCACCCATTCGATGGGGCAACCAATGGGATAACCTCTGGGACAATGGAACGCATGGAAGCATCGAGCGTGGCTATGGAGGCGACTCCATCTTTTTCGACGGAGTTGGCTACGTGAGAGAGGATCTATCCCGCGTTCCCCTGTTTGGCCGGCTTCTCGCCTCGGTCCGTATCAACGGCCTGATCATCAACAATGTCAATGCCGACGCCACTATCCTCAGTGACAGGAACCAGGAGGGTGTTCAGAGAGTCGCTGACCTCCTCCGGCCGTGGGGTGTACAAATTGGGCTCTCTTTGAACTTTGCGTCTCCCAAAGACTTTGGAGGACTCGAAACCTTTGATCCCCTCGATAAAGGTGTCATCAACTGGTGGCAAGACATCTCGGATTCGCTGTTTAAGCGTATTCCCGACTTCCTTGGATATCTTGTCAAAGCTAGTTCCGAAGACCAGCCCGGCCCTCTGTCCTATAACCGGACCTTGGCAGAGGGCGCCAACATGTTTGCGCGTAGCGTTCAGCCATATGGAGGGCTCGTCCTGTTCCGCGCCTTTGTGTACAACCACCATTCTGATTGGAACGACTGGTACGCCGATCGTGCCAAGGCAGCGGTTGAATTCTTTGGAGGCCTTGACGGGAAATTTGACGACAATGTTGTCATCCAGATCAAATATGGGCCCATCGACTTTCAGGTCCGCGAAGCCGTGTCGCCCTTGCTTTCGAATTTGACGCAGACAAACACGGTATGGAACTTCTATTCACAAGGGTCGACCTAGTTGCTAACCAGGCTTGAGACAGGCCATCGAACTCCAAATCACGCAAGAATACCTCGGACAGCAATGTCACCTGGTGTATCTTGCACCACTTTGGCAAGATGTGCTTGGTTTTGATATGCGAGTGGATGGAAAGGAGTCATATGTAAGGGACATCTTGTCAGGAAAGGTCTTTGAACGCCCGCTCTCTGGATACACAGCCGTCATCAATGCTGGGATGGACTCTACATGGATGGGTAGCCACCTGTCCATGTCCAACTTTTACGCATTTGGCCGTCTGGCCTGGGATCCCAAGCTTGACTCTGCCGAGATTCTGGAGGATTGGACCCGCCTGACATTCGGTCTGGACGACAATATTCGCGAGGTCATCACCACCATGTCTATGAAGTCGTGGACGGCATATGAGAATTACAGCGGAAATCTGGGCATTCAAACCTTGACAGATATCCTTGGTCTGCATTACGGCCCGAATCCTGCATCCCAGGATAACAATGGTTGGGGGCAGTGGACAAGAGCAGATCACAAGACCATTGGTATGGACCGCACCATGTGGAACGGTACAGGATACACGGGGCAGTATCACGACGAGGTTGCCCAGATGTACGAGAACATCGAAACGACGCCTGATAACCTGCTTCTGTGGTTTCATCATGTGCCTTATACCTTCAAGCTTCACTCAGGCAAGACTGTGATCCAGCATTTCTACGATTCACACTACGATGGAGCCGAAACTGTGTCCCATTTTCACAAAGCGTGGGAAAGTTTAAAGGGTATCATCGACGAAGAGCGTTATGAAAAGCAGCTGTACCGCCTCAAGTACCAGGCCGGACACTCTATCGTGTGGCGTGATGCCATCAACGAGTTCTACCGCAACCTGTCAGGTATCCCCGACGAAGCCGGCCGTGTACGGAATCACCCCTGGCGTATCGAAGCTGAGAACATGACGTTGAGCGGCTACCAGCCTGTCAGTGTCACGCCATTTGAAACAGCATCGAAATACACTGCTATTGTGACAAACGCGACCGGTACAGCCACGGCCGAGATCCCATTTGAAGACGGAGTGTATAACTTGGCCATCAATTATTTTGATACTCCCAAGGGGAAGTCAACATATGACGTCAGTATCAACGGTCACATCGTTGGAAGGTGGGTGGGTGATGCAGAGGATCATCTTGGAAAGGTGGGGAGTGAGTACCTGGACGGAGATTCTGCCATCCGCATCACGTTTGAGAACATCACAGTCTCCAAGGGTGATAGGCTTCAAATCAGAGGCGTCACCGACGAGGGAGAGCAGGCACCCCTGGACTACGTCTCTCTTCTTCCCCAAGGTGTTGTGGACTAGATCAGAGTACATAGCATACCATTCAATTAGAGAAAGGTGCCTATCGCTGGGTCACAGTGCATTCGTGAAGACTTGAGTGGCGGCCGCTTTCTACACGGATGCATAGTAATGGTAATGCCGTGTAAGCTTTTAATTAGTTGCTGCAACCTCCATGGTCAGCATATTCTATCACACTGCTTATTTCAGTCCGATTTACAGTTCAAGATATTGTTGTGGTGGCAGTGATGCCCAACACTATGTTGTTCTCTCCAGGGCCATATTCGTTGTGAAAAGAGAACAAAGAGTGATGAACGAATCCAACTCGAGGGCCGTGCAGAACTGATATGCAGCTACACATCCAATAAGGTTGCATCGAAAACACGTCGGCCTCCTACAGTAGTTGCCATCGCTAAGACTCGTCATCTAGCATCCTCCCAGGAGTGGTGGTTCAGTATGAGGAGGCGCAATATGCAATATCAAGTCACACGGCGGCAAGCCAACGCATAGCCAACGTGCGGTTTCCGCCTTAGCCAAATACATATGCCTATTTCCGCTCCCGCGTCCCATGAGACTGGGCAGACTCACCGAGTACAGAAGTCGCAACCTCAGAAATCCCCAATCATGCCTTTGCTTCCACCCGTCGAGATCTCCACTCGCACCACAGCCAACCTGCAGCCAATAAGCCGAGTAACAGCGCAGAGCAAGGCACAATCGCGTATGGTTTGATGAAGGTGGATGATCCAATCGATCGGGGTTATCTGATATTGGGAATAGCGTGAGCATAAATGCCCAACCTTCTTTTCATCTGCGTAGCAGTGAATGGTGTGGACATCTCCAACTATTCCTCTCGCTCTCTATTCTTCTCCCTCTATCTATCTCTGGGCGTCGGAAAAGAATAAATTCCCGACACCATCAGTCGACGTGCAACACTAACAATGGCCTCTCCCACAGAAGAGAACCAAACAGGGGATTTGCCAAACGAGAATCACGACAACGAACCCGCCATGGAAGCGCTCAACAGAGCATCCGCATTCTTCGTTCGCTTTGGCTCGTCCGAAGGCTTCAAGCGGCTCGAGAATATGATTGACGACAATTCGAGTCTCCATCTCGAGTTAAACGAGCTGCAAATAGCTTATCGCCGGAGCCTCAAAACTCTTTCCGACGAAACGACAGAGTTTGAGAGCTCCAAGAAGAAGTTTGAGGAAGAACTCGAGGCTGAGACGTCAGCCAAGGCAGAGGCCTGGGTCCAGTTGCAAAAAACCCAGGAGGAACTAGAGAAGAAACGCGAAGAGGCAACGGCCATTGCCGAAGAGGTGGAGAGGAAGCAGACAGAGATACAGGGTCTGCAGGACGAGTTGAAGCAAAAGGATAGCCAGATCGGGGCTCTCGAAGAAGCCAGAGCTGAGAGGGACGAGCTTCGCGACAAACTCTCCTCGGTTCAGGGGGAAATTTCCACGATGACGACAGACCTGCAAGAGGCAAAAGGATCGCTAGCTGCCCTGAACTCCCTCATGGTCGAGCTCCGTGACACGGAGGAGAATGAAGATAATCTGTGAGTCAATGACAAAGCTGGGCATAGAACGACAATAGACTAACTATTTCCCAGCGCCAAAATACTGCGCAACTTTTTCACCACAAGCTATAAGTTGATTGATCGTTTCCTAGGCCAAGATCTGCCGTCCGAATGCCTTGCCCAGTCGTGGTCAACTGCTGCCCAAGTAAAACAGGATCTGGAAAGCAGAGGTATCAAAGCTCCCCAGCTACCTCTGCCACCTTCCAACTCGGAGGATGCCAAGAGGATGAGGGTCGCCCTAGGCTTGCTGGTCTATGGCAGAGAACTGGCCCGTAGCATTTGGAGGCCAACATACCTTACCGAAGACGAGGACATCAACAACGTGCTCGACAGGCTAAGCATCAATCATCCTCGGCACGAGTCCCACTTGCGGGCTACGATTCTTGGCGTCATCCAGGTACTTCCGGAGCAGCAGCAAACTGCCAAGCAAAAGAGAATCACCAGAGTGAAGCACCAGGTATACAAGTCCTTGGCCGGCCTGATTCCCGAGGATAGGCATGCCGAGTTCAAAGCCGATATCCAGAAGCTCACGACCAAAATGGGCGACACATGGGAGAAGACTCAGCGGTTGGAGACCATGGTGGAGCCCAATTTTGACGACTTTGTACCTGAAGACTGGAAGCCGTTCCCAGAGCCAACGGACGTCAACGCACAATCGGAACCAGTTCCAGAGCAATCGGAAACGCCGGTCGACGGCGACACCGGGGCCGTCCAGGAAACAGACGACGAGGACGACACTGTCTGTGTTCTGTGGCCTGTGTTTCTCTACCCCAGCATTGATGAAGGTGGCGACCTGGTGCGTCTGCAGAATGGCTACATCCTCTTGCGAAAGCAGTGCAGGGCTGCCGAGGCTGAGAGCGAAGAGAGCGAGAAGGCCAGTAGGGCAGATCGGAAAATCAAGAGGCAGAATGGGCCACCGAGGAAGCGGCGTGATTCGGGCGTGGGTTTTTTAGAAAATGGAAAGCCTTCGAATGGATCGCCTGCTTAATGTCGGAGATGAAGAGATGGCAAGTAAGGGGACGGTAACAGTAAAGGGGCGTACGGTAGATTGATTGATTGGGGCCGAGCCCGCGTGTCGTGGGGGTGTCGTGGGGGAAGGATTGCTCACTCGCTCGTTTCGCGTGAGGGTCGCACTACTCCGTATGTCTGTCTGTATCGAGAATGTCGTTATATTATCAGTCGCACCGAACCGTTTCCACCTCCTTTTAGGTTACCATGAGTGGTTTCCTCATGTGCAGATTTTGAGGGGCATGCACGACATGGACGAAAAGTGACGATGCCAGGCGGGGGGGGGGGGCGGTTTGGTGAGGATGTTGGCTCAATGGTGATTTATTACGTGGTCATGTGGCATCAGGCCGTCGTGCCCCACGTATATGTATGTACTGATAGAACAGGAAAAAACGTGCTTCTAAGCCACGACGATCAGCCAACGTAAGCGAACAGCATTACAATGCATAGAACGTCAAAGTACTAGGCGTCTTTTGTCGATCAAAGGATTCGGGGCCTGTTCTGGTTTTGTTCTTACGTAGGAGAATCCTTAAATATGGCAACGAAATCATCTAAGCCTGCTCTTCAGCGAGTGCGAATGGCAGTTGGGGAAGTGCAAAGCCCCCACTGCATGTAATAATACTGCCTATGTATTATTATTAGTTACTCCACACCATACAGTTTATATACGTCTAAGCTAAGCCCTCAGCTAGCAGTGCTAGGCTATCTGGACACTGCGAGTTGGTATCCTTTAGGAAACTAAACGGGCCAATCATTCAGTATGTAGCAGCTAAGGATGTCGTATCAGGGAAACCCATGAGGCTTGTGGGAGCCCTACGTCACGCGAAGCCAGCGTCTAACACGGAGTAATACGGTGCACTCTGTAGCGCTAGAGCTGGGCGTCGCTAGTATTGCAGTAATACTGATGGTGGCGTGGACTGTACCCGTGCAGTATACAGATTACATGTATACCTTATAGTGGTACTATCAAGCTGCAATACTGCACCGCTACAGTGAAGAGCCCCGTAAGCGCTGCTGTGCCACGATCCTCGTACGCATATCTCTTTTGTATTAATAGCAACTCTTATTAATCTACATATTCTCTAGACATGGGACAACTCAGTATTAATGTCTACGGTCGCCGTGTTGAATCTCCTAGAAAGTGAGATAACAAGATTGAAATACACCCTCTACGGTATTACTCATATCGGGATGCCTGCATAACGATTGAGGCGGTTGAAATTATCATATGCCCTTTCTAATCTCATTTTAACTGCTCACTAGAGTCCCAAGTCGTCATCGCCCCTAAACAGGCTACAGCACTTTTAGTGGTGCACCGCCGTCTCGCCCCTGGGCGACTGTTTACTATTATTCAGTGAGCCATCTGCTATGATTGCCAGTCGGTCACGGGCTCTACATATAGGCGCTAAGCATGCATCAACAAGGCACATACTGACTTTTGATCCAATCAGATCCGATGCTTCCGTCATTAGCAGCGTCGCCTCCTGCTTCTAGTACCGTAACTCCTTTTTTTTCCTGCCTCGTGCTATATTATCGTCCTTGCTACGTATCACTTTGTATTCCAAGTTTTTCTTGCTTCGTTTTTCCCTTATTTATTATTTCCTTTTGTTTCCTCTGCTCTATTTGTTCCAATATCGGCAAGCCCCTCCAACCCTTGCTCAGAGGAAAGAGAAGAGCAAGCGACTGCATTCGGGTCATGCTACTGAGTGAGCGCCATTGAACCGTCGACGCCGCCGCCGATAGAATCGTGTCCTCCATGAGGCTCTTCTGCTCGACAACCTCTCCGAGACGACGCCATCACCGCTATTGATGCCATGGTCGCCGTAAGGCCATTGGCATCGTCATGGCCATGGTCCCGTCGCCCGCCCTGGTGGTACTTTTCCGAATACACCTACCACGTATCTAGACAGACCCCCAGGCGCTTCTTTCGCGTCGCCATCGTCAGCCTCCTCGTCAGCATCTTCATCATTTTCAGTCTCACGAGCACGCCGCCTCCACCCCGGCCTCACCATGCGCCCTTTGAGACACCCCTCTCCAATCTCATCGTTCACGGCGAGCATGTCGAGCTTCTCCCTGACCCCGCATACCCTCTCGAGCCATTTCCCGACTCTCCGATGCACGCCTCCGAGGCGTCATCCCTGTCCACGTCCCCGGGCCAGCCGCAACCACCATGGCTCGTCACCGTCATAAGCCCTGCTACCGACGCTGCTCGTCGCATGCTCATCCGCTCCACGTGGATGCGCCTCTACCGCGACGTGCCATTCACCGCCCGATTCGTCGTCTCCAACCCGGGTCCCATGTGGACCGACAATCTGCGCATCGAGAACCGCACCTTTGGTGACTTGATTGTCCTTGACCACCTGCAGGAGGATGACGTGACGGCCAATACCGTCAAGACATTAGAGCTGTACCGCTGGTTGATTAGGCAGGGCCATCGCTACGAGTTTGTCTCCAAGATGGACACGGACCTGTGGTTCAACGCTCGCGGCTTCTACGACAAGTACATTTCCAAGCTGCTCTCCAATCAGACTGGCAACCCTCAGGCGCTCGTCGAACGCACCATCATTGGCGAATTGTACTACTCGGCCCGCCACGATCTGGTCTTCCCCCACGGCGCGATGTACACGGCCACTTGGGACATGGTTGAGCTGCTCGCATCCCTGCAGAGCCGCTTCAACGTCATCACTGGCGAGGACATGGCTCTTGCCATGCTCATGCTCAAGGGTCGCGAGACAGCCAACTTTATCAACTTCAAGGGCTCCGAAAAGTTCAACTACGACGATGATGACTCTAGGGGGGATGGCACCGCCTGGGCCCGCCGGAATACTCATACAGATGCCACGCACCACGCTATTTACGGCTCTGATCCTATTGCAGTTCACCAACTCAAGGATGAGGGCATGTTCCTCAAGGTGGCCGACTGCTTTGACAGCAATGGCATTCGCGAGATGGAGCCCGCCGGCCCAGAGCGCGCGCCCCCTTTTGAGGTTGTCTGGTACGACTTTCTGCATATAATCAACATGAATGTCCATTGGAAGTCTCGTTTTGAGAGGATACCCGAATTTCTCTGGAGTTTTGGAAATGGTTATTGGTTTTGTGATGGCATTTGGCGTTTGGGCCACACTAGAATGGGGCACATAGAAGACCTCGAGCATTTTTAGTAGCGATATCCTTTTTTCTATGTACTTGACCGCGTCAAGTGCCTTATATATTATAAACAATACAATAATGATAATATGAAAGCATTCCACCTCCGTCCATTCCAGGTTATATCGGAGGCCTCTAGCCGCTACTGGTTGGCATGCCATTGATCAATGACATGATACGGTCTACCCTAGGCTAGTCCAGATAGAATCAAGGCTTTCAACAGACAACGCAAGTGCAGTCAAATAACTGTACATGCAGCCGATGATAGGTTATTGTCTTCTTCGTCAAGTTCTCATCACTGGTTATGGGGGTGGACGTGATGTCTTGGGCTACCGTCTATGACATTAGACACGTCTACAGGAAAAATGTTGTACAATTGAAACACATGCTCATGCTTCCATGTACACGTGATAGAGAACGCACAATGCATGCGTGTTAGATAGAAGAAGAGTTGGAGGATGTATGGCACCGGATCATGCCTTGATTCAGGCGTGAACCTGACACCACATGTCCTTCCCTCCCGTTTGGCTGAATGGGGGTGCGCGGCTTGGTTGTACGGCCTTAGATCAATGCAAGGCAGGAACGACCTTGGTCTAACGAGCACACATACCACTAACCCACACATCTTTCCAACGGCATTCGTATTACGTTATCATAATATGTCTAGCCTTAGCCGGCTCAGGCTGCGGCCAGGGTCAGCTGAGTCTTCCTGCATCATCTCGTTCTCTTCAAGCGCTCTCCTCTATGTAGTGCGAAGCAGTATCAAAACCTCTGTATGTACGCAATTCATGATCTAGGGAATTAGTCAACGAACTCAGAAATGATTGCTGGCAGACGATTTCCCTGCATTCTATTGTCTCTATTTCCGTCATTCCTCGCCTTATTTCACCTGTCTTTTTCATCTCATGTCCAGTCCATGTTGCTCCTTTTTTCCCCCATCAATAAATCGCTGACAGCTAGATCTCAGCTAATCGTAGTAAGCTGGACCCCTGTTTAGACAAACGGTTGCATTTTGCATCGCCAAGCAGAGTATGGAGCAGCAAGACGATTTTCATAGTGGGGAAGTGTCGAGCGTAACACGACACTCCAATTAACACGATTTCACTATTATAAATTAAGGGCTATATTTCTTTTGCTATTCTAAAACAATACTCCTTGGTATGCACACGCCCGGAAAAATCCCTCAATACTAATATGTATGCAAATGCTTTTGTTCTGATGCTGTCTTTCCTCTTGACTGCCACACCAAATACGGGATATCTGCTTCCACGTCTCATGGGCCAGTGATGCCAGTAGTAGGAAGGGTTTCGGTCTCACTAGAATCCTGTCCAGGGTTGGCAGTCTGGTACTCAAGGATACGGAGAAGCTTGTAGAGGCCATAAGCCAGGAGGGATCCGAGGAAGGGTCCAACCCAGTAGATCCAATGGATAGAGACAAAGCCAGAGATGACGGCAGGGCCGAAGGAACGGGCAGGGTTGATAGAGGTGCCGGTGTAGTTCGTTCCGCAGATGTGGGCAATGAAGACGGACATGCCAATGCCAACAGGGGCAAGGAAAGTGGCCCTGTGTTTCTCAACCGCAAGAAAGTACACGGTGAGGACGAGCTGAGCCGTCAGGAACATCTCGAGGAAGAGGCCTTGGACAGTGCTCGTTCCGTTGGAGAGGTTATTGCTCACACCAAGGGGGCCAGGCAGTAGCCCATCAACGACGGCGGCAGCGGCAATACCAGCGGCGATTTGGGCGATGAAGACGAGGATCGCACGGACAAAGGAGAGAGCCCCGACGAGGAAAAGAGCCAAAGTGACCTGTAAGAGACAAACGCCGTGTCAGTAAGTACATATGAGGTCCGTGAAGGATCAATAGTTAACGAAAGACGTACGGCAGGGTTGAACAGTCCACCGGAGACACGGAAGAAGATCCAGACATTGACTGCCAGAGAGGTTCCGAAAGAGGCAGCAATGAAGAGAAGAGAGTAAGGGTGGAGAGAGGCATCCGGATTCTGAAAGTCATTGTTGGTGATAGCGGTCTGGGCACCGATAAAGGACATGAGTAGGAACATGAATGTTCCGCAGAACTCTCCAATCACCACAATGAGCTCATTTCGGAAAGTGTCAGGCAGAACATGGCGTCCATTGTTGCCTCCAGGGCGCTGGGCCTTGGGATCGTCGGGGATACTGTCGAAGAAGGGCATGCTGATATGACAGACGAGGATTATACGAGATGGATTCTCCCACTGAGATGGAACAGCAAGTTGATCGGATCAGGCGTCTCAACCAAAAACGAAGGGCCTTGCGTGTTCTTATTATACTCGTATAAGACGCTCAGTTCGGAGAAGGGCAGACTAGTTTAGGCTGGCTAAAGCTTCCCAGCGCGAGTCGCAACTTTGATGGAAACCCCGTATACGACCCTTACACAGCTTCAGGTCCATATGATTGGGTCCAGACGACTAATAGAATGTTTAGCTGGTCCGCACCAACTCTGCAAGACAGAAAAAGGATGTTCCCGTCGCCCATGACCGAACCGAACATATGCTAATATATCAGACATGGAGTCTACTTATTGTAGGGGTTAGTAAGCTAAGTAATGTTATGGCCTACTGAGCAGTGGTAAGGTAGAACAGCAAATGTACTAATAAAAAAGAGTATATATATATCTGTTGTTGCCCTCTTCCTTCCTTGAATCGAGGAACACAGCTATTTATAGCAATCCTAATCTGATATGTCTCGACACGATGTTGACGAGAACAATATCGTAACTTCTCTCCTCATACCCTCTCCTAGATTTCTCTAACAGGGTGGTGCATAAGAATTAAACCTGCAGTCGAGTATTATTCCTGCTATTGCCTTCCATCATCGTCCCGAGGATAGCTGTTACCTGGACCCCGGAATTGCCGTAGTACTTCATGCAGGTGACTTATTCTCTTCCACTCTGGTTTTGTTTTCTTCGGTATCCATTTTGTCAACGCGAGCTGAAAAAGAGCTGAGGGGATCATGGGATAGTGTCGGGTTAGAGTTCGTATCCAAGCCCGTTACAGCTAACACCCTGACTCAGTGTCGCAGATTCTGCACAGATCCAAGACCAGTAACGTGCTGTCCCTTCTACACTCCAGCCTTTCAAGGTTCATGCTGAGTTGCGTCCCTTTGTTTTTCCAACATGGCTGTCAACTCAAGATTAGCTTTTATTACTGTCAGGGTACCCTCTGACTGTCAACGGCGGCCGGGAGTCGCGATACTAATGGCTGATATCGGCCGCCTCATACCGGAGTCACGGTAATATCTACACCGAGCAAAGAATTGGGTGGTGGGATCCCTGGACGAACACAGCATAGTTCGTCCCTTGGCATGTTCGAAACAACGGTATTTACTAGCTGGATCTGGACGAGCTCCATAGTGCACCGCTTAAGTGTTGGTACTATTGCCAGCAGCACCACAGAATACGCGGTCTTGTTACTTTTTCGCTTCCAACCAAGAGGGGCAAGAAAAGAAGAAGAAAGAAGAATCTACTCAGCTCTCCTTGAAAACCACAGAGAACTACATACCACTCCGCGAGTCAGTGCGTCTATACGGGTGCAGCTAGGCTTTTAATCAGGCAAGTGGACAATGCCCAGAATTTTCGCGAGACCATGAGTCATGCAAGATGATATCAGTCCATCCTCAGTGCTGAAGGAATGAGGGGTCATTCGAAGGACTGAAAGAAAGATGCATATATGCTCCCGCGCTACTTGAATCTTTACCTATTGCATATATGTTGCAATGCTATATTACTAACATGCATATACCTTGGTCTTTGTGCCACTTGCCCTAATGCGTAACCAAACGGTCCATATACATGGTTGTCATTCATGCGTGGAGGTGCACGGTTGGCGGGAACACCAGCGTGTAGATTGACCAAGGCCCAAACATACTTAGTGCCATCTCGGGACCCTCGGGTAACTGTCATCTGAGCGGATGCGTGATATTTTCAACAATATTATCTATTTTGACAGAAAGTGTTGGAAATTACAATTTGCCCTGGGTATTCTATCTCCCTCGTGGGAACCCCTGATCCATTTCTTATGGAACCTAAGACAGTGACAGAGGCTTGCCTTAAAAAAAAAGGAGTAACTAGATCCAATAGGTAGATCGGTTGGAAGCAGTGCAACGAGGGGAGAGAGATCTGCATTATGCACAGTGATCAGGGAGGAACTGTTTGCTGCATTGCAAAACTTGGGCTTTGCTTGCTTTTTATCACTAAAGGTAGAACGAGGGGTAGTTGTAGATGGCTTGAATCAGTAAACAGCATTGACATCATCCCGGCTACTTTGTTATGGAAGTGGTCTGCTCAAGCCGTTACAGTAAACTATGATTATTACAGCTTAGATCCAGACTGCTCTAGCCGTGTATTTCTTATAGCCGCAACGGAACAGCCATAAATAGTAGCATTCTATTCCTAGCCCTAGCTAATGTCATCTCCGAAGGCATCATTGATCGGCGTTTTCGTGCTACGGCGATCCTATTACTCTACGGCGTCGGTCCAACTTATATCTGCGTTCATCGAGAGCCTAATGCCCGGATTTTAGACAAAATACCAGGCTAGACAGCTACTAACGCCCACGTCGCCCCATGTGCACACAGCTTTAGCTAGTTTCCATAACCTCTTTGCTGGAAGCTGCATTGACAAGACTAGACGCCCACGCTGGATATCCGTCGGCAGTTCTCTGGGGGTTCGTCCACTTCTGATGAGAAGATGGCCGTAGCCGTACTCAATCAAAATAGGATTTTCAGTCTCGACTATTGATCGCCTTCTGCTACCGTCAATATGTAGACCTTACCCGGTGGGGGCCTCGCCCTGGAGCAATAAAGGAAAAGAAAGAAAAGAAAGGGAAAAACGCACATCCTGAATTGTTGCTCAGGGCTTTAATGGTAAAGAGGGTTTACTTCAAGCTCCCCTCCCCACCTACCTTCATCGACAAGTACACATGTTGGCTAGAGGCCTTGTCTGAACGGATCAAAGGCAAAATGATGACATTACAATTACAATCCAACCAATTTTTTTTTTTTTCAGAGATCCACCCCCGGAATCTACAAAGCACCATTAACAGGAACAGTTCCTGTAAACTCCTAGGTACAATACGTATACATTGTGAGTGAATGTGCACGGGTATTTCATGGTCAATAGCTTCAATAACATTATTTTTCTCAGTTGAGGCGAATGGGTAAATGTTCAACCACTCGGAGGATGGAGTGGTCGGCAGTCTCCTAGAAATTAAGGGAAACATCCTAGGGGGATTCTGAGGCACTGAAAGGGCGCTCGTTGGTATTCTTCAAGGTGCCTGTCAAAACGGAAGAGAGATGCGTACAAGAACAGGATGCGATTCTCATTTTTCGTTATTGAAAGGGGAGCAGGTATCAGCAAAGAATCACCTTCATTCACACAATCATCGTCCAAGTCCACCGGAATTGTCAGAATCTAACATAAAGTATTGCGCCATTGTGATTGCGCTCATAATGCTCGTCGCCTTGGCTACATCATTGTTCAATCGCTTACACGAGACGATCAACGCCACGGTACGACAGATGAACTCCTCTTCAGGCTTACGCTCCCAGAGTTTATGCACCGGCGCGATATCCAGGATTCTTCCGCGATATTAATTATGCTGCTTAACATGACCGAAAAATACGCTAGGCTCCCGCTTCGATGGTAGAATCCTGCGGTGCCGATTGAATTATCTGCGATCGATCGTGTACCAACGACATCTTGCTTAAACCTGTCTGCCAGCGGCACGATTTCGGCTACGAGAATTACAAGGCCCAGGACCGTTTGACCAACGACACCAAGAAAGCTATTGATAAGATTTAAGGACGAGTACAATACCAGTTACCGTGCCTCGACCTCAATAGTGCGGTGCTAGTTCTATGCCCTCCCCTCTGAAGCGTGTACACTCTATACGAAGACGAACAATACGGGGAAGCATGCATATCACTAGTCGGAATTTATTACCAAGTCACTCTACTAACTATTATTTGGCCGCAACAAGCCGGATTCCCTCGACCCGTTACCCATGACGATAAAAATATATTATGAACGTGCCGTCTTGGAATACCTAGAACAGGAAAAGAAGGTGTCGTAGTTTTAGTTTGCCACGGAATAACGTCAATGATGCGGGTTCTTAGAGCTTTTAGAGCTTTTAAGTGCGAATAGAGTTACAGATGGCTCGGGGCTCATAGATCTGTTTGTCAACATGATCGCAATTGAGACAAGTTTTCTACCGTTCGCTTGCCTTCACCTTGCTGGCATCTGTATACTGCGAACGGCTGGTCCTTTGATTATCGGACATTTTTTTATTTTTACATAATCAGCCTATCCCAGAATCTGTATCAGTAAGATAAAGAGAATTTAGCTGATCGCACCCTGACATGTCCGGTAATAATATTATAAACGGCCTAAATCTGAGACTATCACCCCCTCTATGACCTGCAGGAATCTAGAACAAGTCTCCATGAGATGCGGAAATGCATCAAGGAAGATAATAACGCCCGATGATGCATGGATATCCTGGAACTTTGTTGGCGACGCGCGGTTATTGCCTTGGTCTCTCAAGCGTCTGATAATGACGATAAGAGAGGGGGGGGGGGGGGGGGGGGGGGGCAATGTAGATGAAACTCCATATCTTTCTCATTATTTGTTTGTGCCACTATTACTAAACTGGGAAGTCATAGACTGGATTGCAGAATAATGTTACGACATGTAGCATCGGAGCCCGACTCGACTCGATGCCAAGGGGGACTCATCAGAGTACCTTTGGTCTTGGCAAGAGAACTTGGGATGCTTTTACTAGATATCGACCTACTGCAGGGAAACATATGGTAATAATATGACGTACTGCAATACGACATCCATACGACAGTTCTATTCGCCCATGACCTATAGGTGGTGCATTTCATATTCGGCAGTCAAACATGAGACCGGGTGTGAATACCGCGTCAGTTACTATCGGTGTCAAGGGCCAGGACGGGGAGGGGAAACAGCTCCGCTTCTACACCACCGATAACTAAACGTCCCCTCAGTCTCATCCACCCTTCTGTACAAATAACGGGCGGAAGAGTGTATGACATTAGATATTATCTCTCTCAATATATCGCATCTTTTGCTGTGCTTTCCCCTCTACTCATACTCGTATTGTCCGTTAGTTTTCAGCCTGCACCGAGTCATACGGGCCAGCCACAACGCCGTTTAACAAGAATCACACCAGACAGGGAGCCTACGATGTCTATTACCCTTATCAAACTCTTTTGGATGATGTCAACTTCCCTTGAGGGCTACTGAAATCTCACTATCCGTGTTTGACAAATGCCGATGGACCTCAGCCACGTCTTTTCCCGTTACCTATGGAACTTTACGAACTTTGCAGAAATAAAACTGCATACTTGTTACGGAAGGAAGTCCCTTGATCGTCTCTATATTCTCGAGACGAAGCAATGGTTCTACTCAAGAGACCTGCATTGCCAGATTCCATTGAAAGTTGGAAATCTTGATATTGATAAAACTTGATCCACCAGGAAAATTCCGTGATTGAAAGTATGTCAAGAGTTAGAAGCTTACATGAATTAGCTGTGAAGAGTGCCAGCTAGACCCCACGGACACCATCTCTCGACCATCATCGGGTTCATATCCTCACCGTCACCGTTGTCTGAGGCTAGAGAATCTCGGTTTTTACCTTTTTTTTTTAAAAAAAAAAAATTCTATCAAAAGTTCTTTTGGATGCTGGCTAACCGCCTGCATTGGAGCCCTTGGGAAGCAATTGATACTATCATAAGACGCGGGGCCCTGCTATTGGGTCTTGGCCGCCAATGTTTAGTCCCTTGGCACATCGCAACCTGCCATAAACTGAAGCCCTTTAAACGAGTTGCTTGCTTGTGTTATCTTCTTGTTTCCGTGTGTGGATAATTGCTCGTAGGTTTCCGGCCCGTGAACCTGTGTAGAATGAATTGGAGGCTATGATTGTCTCTCACGATGTTGTCTAAGCAGCCTTGACTCCTCCGGGAAGGTAATAGATACAAGGTTCTTGAACTAGAATAGCTCCATCTTTATGTATAAGCATGTTGGACAAATCTCCCCGTATAGTCATGGAATTTCTCCCACTATTGACAGTGGTGTCCACCAACGCCACATGCTCATCTATCCCTCGAACTGTAGCGTAGGATTGTGGAGGTTCGATGGGCCTCCGGTTCTGAGGTCACAGTCTGTACGCTAGGAACATGCAATCTTCTGCGAACAAGATGCTAGGCGCATAGTTCAAGACATCTAGAAACCCAGTTGGCTGGATTTGTGTTTCGGGAGATAAACGATGAGGGTTGCCTTATTTGGAATTTTGTGCTCATATCAATGGAGCACGTACCCATTATTGCCGGGATAAACTGGAGTCAGACCAGCGGCTCTTCTATTGAATATTATATCCACTGATCATAATACTGTAGCAGAGACAAGAAGTCATTAGCGGGCTACCGGGTATTATCTAAGTACATCGATCATGTTTGTACTTCTGGTGAGCTACAGCCCATAACATATCGTGACCTGAATGAACCAATTCAAAGAAACGCCGCGAGCATAAACTCGAGTGTTTTCAACCTAGGGTATGCTGGGAAACAGGTTTGTCATTATTTCAACGCAGCGCGTGAGTTTCCCAGAACTTCAACCAGGTATCAGTGTTGGAAAGGAGATCCGCCGTATACCTGTATCTGATAGGCTACACACACAAAGATCGGCAATCTTGTCAATGGGACTTTTTTTTGACAAGTCTACCATATCAGGGAGCTGGCTGGCTAGAGTACGGAAAGGATCGACGCAGCTGCCTTTCGCAGGTAGATAGATGGTGGAGTCCCCTCTAACGATGGAAGTGGTCACCTTCTAGCGGATTGCATACGCGAGTCAAACAAGTTAATGCGACGCTACATGCTAGGGGCACATGAGAAGAGGCACGGGATGGTGCGATTTGGTATTCAATCAACGTGAGATGCTCCAGAAACATCATCTCCAAAATTAGTAGACCCTCATGCAACCGTGGATGCAGGGCTGTCTACAGACGGTGTATGAGTATTGGTCCATGTTGAAGTCGTATTCGCCGTAGTTTGGTGTGGGACATATACTTCACGTAGTATACGGTTACAGCGGAATCGCTTGTAGTTATGCTCAGCACCCATGTAAGTGTAGTAGCCCCCTCGTGACGCTGTTTCTGCATGTAGATGTCGATATGCAAAACGAGGACTGATTGTAACGTCAAGATATCCAGGAAAGATAAATAGATGCAACAGTCGCCGCTTGGATTTGTTTTCCTTTTCCTTTCCTCAGCACTTTTATCCTTATCCAGTCTCATTATCATCTCTGTTCATCCTCCTCAACCAGCTCCCTCAAGCTAAATCCTCTATCCTTCATCATGCGTGCCTCTACCCTTCTCGCTCTCCTGCCTGTGGCTATGGCCGCTCCTTCTATCGTGAAGCGCAGCTCGCTCGCTCCCATCATCACCCCCCGAGATGCTCAGGTCATCGACGGAAAGTACATCGTCAAGTTCAAGGACGATATTATCAAGACGGCCGTCACCTCTGCCATCTCCTCCATCAGCGCCAAAGCTGACTACACTTACTCCGAGGCCTTCAACGGCTTCGCCGGCAGCCTGACTCCCGAGGAGGTTGAGACCCTCCAGAATGACCCCACCGTCGAGTACCTTGAGCAGGACGCCGTCATCAGCATCAGCGCGACACAGTCCAACGCCCCTTGGGGTCTTGCTCGCATCTCCAGCTCCGAGCCCGGAGGCACCACTTACACCTACGACGCTAACCCTGGCGCTGGCACTTGCGCCTACATTGTCGACACTGGCATTGACACTACCCATTCAGTACGATAGCCAAAACTCGTTTACCGAAAAAATCCAGTATAGCTAACAGAGTGCAGGAGTTTGGTGGCCGTGCCAGCTTCGCCGCCAACTTTGTTGACAGCAACGACGGGGATGGCGAAGGCCATGGTACCCATGTCGCCGGTACTGTCGGCGGTATTACCTACGGTGTTGCTAAGGAGACCACTCTCTACGCCGTCAAGGTTCTCGGTGACGACGGTAGTGGTAGCACGTAAGTTGATAGCATCCCTCGTCTCCTATACGTGGTCAAGGTCCACAAGCTGACACAAGGCGTCTTATAGCTCTGGTGTTGTCGCTGGTATGCAGTTTGTTGTCACCGATGCCCCCAGCAGGAGCTGCCCCTCGGGTGTCGTGGTGAACATGTCCCTTGGTGGCGGCTACTCCAGCTCCATCAACTCTGCCGCCGCAGCTATTGTCGACGCGGGGATTTTCTTGGCTGTCGCAGCTGGAAACGATGGCGCCGATGCCGAGTCGTCCTCCCCTGCTTCTGCGCCCTCCGCATGCACTGTTGGTGCCACGGACTCCAGCGATGTTCTTGCCTACTTCTCCAACTACGGCAGTGTCGTCGACGTCCTCGCCCCCGGTGTTGATATCCTCTCTTCCATCCCCGGAGGTGGCTCTGAGACGCTCTCCGGCACTTCCATGGCCTCCCCTCACGTTGCTGGCCTTGGAGCCTACCTCCTGGGCAAGGGCTCCAGCGTCTCTGACCTCTGCTCTACTATCGCCAGCTCTGCTCTCGAGAATGTCATCTCCGACGTCCCCAGTGGCACTGCCAACCTCCTCATCAACAACGGCTACAAATAAACGAGTGGCTTATTTTCTTACTCCATGAGTTGGTGTCAATAAGGATACAGCTTACTGATATATATGGCAAATTCATTCTGAGCCAGCCATGTAAAATATGGAGGAAATAATGTCCGCTCAGGAGGCTCAGGAGGCATTCATAATCTTTGACTTCGGCTTAAGACAAGGGTTTGAGTGATTGATCTGGATATTTCTATATAGTAAGAAAATGTGAAGCTTCAGTGCCTTGGTTAAATCTGACCTAAGCCTTGTCATTGAATAGCTTTGCTTGGTATGAGCATAAGCCCACATTTTAATTTCTTCAATCCGACCGAAACAAACGGTCTCTTCTTTGCATGACATCATTTGTGAAATAATAGCCATCGGTGCTATATGGCTTTTGGCACATGCGTGTATTCACGCTATTACTCCATACGGGATATTGAACAGAACGACCCGTCGACTTCTACCTTTAATCGGCGGTCCTGATCCTAGCTATGCATATTGGGGTCGGAGATGAGGGTGCTCTATCATTTCAATCACGATGTTCTCATGATTGTGAACGTTTCACGTGTTAGTGCTGTCAGTACGCCGATTGAGCCGGATGCACGCCACATCCTTTGCCGAAGAACTGGGTGCTTATTACTTTGATCATCACAAGGGCTGCACCACTCGAACAACTAATGCAGGAACAATGGCTTCAGCCCGCCACCGAGTCTTTTTCTCTCACTGGCCTACACATCTGCTATTGACCAATATGCTATTCGTACTTCTATGCCCCAGTCCTACAAGAACTGATATACCAATGATCGGCTAGGTATTCCGGGTTTTGGAGTTTCCACTTTCGATGCCACTTCCATCCTTCGAGACATAGCCGTATGCTCGCTTCTAATTGCACCTGCGAAGTACAGTCCTGTAAGGTAATGCTGATGAGAAAAATCCATCAAGGGTTCATCAAGGTAGATACTACTTACACTGGAATAGAGTAAACAGGGCCTTCCGCCACCCCTTTCCTCAAGTTGTTCGATTTACAGAAAGTTAATTTATGCGGCAACCCTCTTCTCATACAATTCGTCTTCTTCAGTATCGACAATTCATCTTAGTCTTCATCTCACTCTCTTGGTTGTGTTCGGTGCATTGATCGACAAGCGTGGCAAGCCGGCCCCTATTCGCATCAACGGAAAACCCGAAGCTACAATCGCTGATCAATACACTGTTAAGTTCGCTGACTTCAGCGCTGTTAATTTATGAGAACGTCATGAGCGCTCTGTCTCTTACCCCGGACCACATGTTCAGAAATGCGCTTCGTGGCTTTGCGGGTAAGCTCGATAAGGCTACACTTAATATCCTCCGTGGTACCCAGATACGGCATTCTCTCAGTTGCTCTTGGAACCGAGCGGGTACCTTGATATTATATCCAAGAACAAACATGTTTCTGATTTCCATGTCAGCAACGTCCATGGCGTCTTCCCATATTGCCTATCTGGCCGCTTCGCCTCAGGGAAATTGCCACTTCTGATGCCATTGATGATATACCCGATGACACATCTATCCTGCTTACTTTCAACGGCAACCCTTCGGGTTAAATGCTGAGAACGCGTAGGAGATTATTTGGCAAGTACCTGTTTTTGGAACGATTTCCCTTGTGCTATTAGGACTAGTATCAACTTAGAATAAATCTAACATGTATTATTGTAATCCGCCTTGAAAAATGACAGATAATAAATAACTATATACTGGAGCTCATACTAACTAGCCAGTAGGTCACATTTCACTGTCTTGTAACTGGCAATACGGAACAACGTGAAAGTCATACGTTCGCACGCCATTACATCCTTGGAGTACGAGTTACATATATGCAGATTCCCCGCTCGATTTGCAGTTTGCGTGAGTTGGCTCGCGAATGACGTCAAGGTTGAGCAAGAATAAAACTCCCAGAGCAGTCAATTCTATCAGAAAAACGATCCTCAAAAATACATGTCATTCTACAAAGTATACTAGAGCAACAATATTGACCATGGGCTTTCAAACACATATGTTAGCGACCGCCTTGCTCTTTACTGCCGCTGTTCCCTTAGTTGCAACGGCCGAGGCAACGGCCGTCATCCCCCAGACTTCAGACCTCCAAATCCCTTCTCTTGGTCTTGGTACATGGCTCTCTGATCGTGGAAAGGCATGTATATGCACGCTGGTGCTGAATCAGAAGGAACCAGATGTGCAATGACCGGTTGCTGACATTGCCGTTCTAGGTTGAGCGCGCTGTCCAGTATGCGCTGGACGGAGGGTACCGCCACATCGACGCTGCTGCTATATATCGTGAGTGTCCACCATCAAAACCCAAAGTACACATGGATATATTCTGACCCTAAGCTCAACCAGACAATGAAAAAGAGGTCGGACGTGGAATCTCTGCGTCCACTCTCAAACGCGAGGATATATGGGTGACAAGCAAGCTTTGGAACAATGACCATCGGCCTGAAGATGTCGGCAAAGCTATTGATAAAACGTTGGAAGACCTCGGCCTTGAGTACTTGGACCTCTACCTAGTACATTGGCCAGTTGCGTTCCTCCCGGACTCCAGCGGTATCGACAAGAAGACATCATTGGAGGATACTTGGAAAGCCTTGGAGGATTTGGTGCGCTCAAAGAAGACGAGATACATTGGCATCTCCAACTTCTCACCCGCAGATGTCCGCAGGATTCTCGATGTGGCCGAGGTTCGCCCCTATGCTCATGAGTTCGAGACGCACCCGTACCTCCAGCAGCAGGACTTTGTCGACTTCCATGCCGACGAAGGCATCAAAGTTATTGCGTATTCGCCGCTGGCCAACACGAACCATCAGTATGACGGCTCTGATATTCCGGCATTGTTTGACGACCCCTTCTGGAAATCCGTCGCGGAGAAGAAGAACGTGACTGTTGCGCAGGCCGTTCTGGGGTGGGGCTCAGCGCGGGGTACTGTGGTGATTCCCAAGAGCGTACACGAGAAGTATATCGACCAAAACCTTGGTGGACTCGATGTTTCATTTACGGAGGAGGAGTTGAAAGAGATATCCAAGCAGGACAGGAAGGTCCGCTTCAATAACCCCGGGCGGCAGTGGGGTGTTGACCTGTTCAATGGGCTGGATGATCCTACCGATCTGGAGTCGAACTACGCCGAGCTGTAGCTGAGACAAGCTTACCCCAGCCCGGAGCACGGTTGAGATGGTCACCAGATGCCGATAAATACTACGCGCAATGGCCATGTCTCATCAAACAGTATCTTTCCGCGACCTATCAACACAGTGATATCCCCTAAGCGTGCTTTGTAGTGCACTGAACATGGAACATGCTCATCTTGATCAAGCCAGGCAAGGTTCGCAGAAGAGCAATGTTGTCCTTGAACTCATCCGTCATCCTCTTTTCCATGTGCTTGTTCAAGCTTGGCCAAGATATAAACGCGACAAAGATCTTTCCCGTTTTTGCTTCATCACCCGGGACGACGACGTCATCTTCTATGGTCCATCCTTGGACGTGGTTGCCAAAGGTAGTGGGGTGACTGAGAGCCTTATCAACGAACTCAGCCCATCTAGACTCGACGATGGCCTTTTGGGAAGCATCGATATCTGCGGGGAAGCTCATATTGAGCACCTCAACGACCGGGTTCGCCTTGTCATTGAATATGGAGGCCACCGTCGGGGAGATGTGAGCCTTGATCTGTGGAGCAGACAGATCAATGATCTTATCGAACCCAGCAACAGTAACACGAGATCTTGATAAAACTCAGCAGTTAGACATGATTGCCGTTCAAGGGGCGACCTTCCTGGCAGTAACTCACCCTCCCTGGTGATCAAGGGATTCCCATTCCACAAATGTCCATAGCTGATGGGGCTTCTCGATAGGTGTAGCATAGTGTACAGAAACGACGCCTTTGTGAGCGAGAATAGTATCCACCTGCTTTGCGACCGGTCCCCCTTCGACCAGAACACCTTCCTCGGCTTCTGGCTTCAGGGACACGCTCGTATACTCGGTGACGGCACTGGTGGGTGGCATTTTCGTTGAAAACTGCTGCGAAGAAAGAATGTAAATGATGCTGAGTGGATCAGAAGAGTGAAGAACCATTTACGTCAGACATCGATACAAGCAACGCGGGGGCTGCAAGCGTCGTGCAAGCACACGGGATAAGGGCCATTTGTGGACCCGAGCACATATCATTACATGGTGGCGCCACGCACGCCCGATGCATGTTACTCCGTACTCCTAATTCAAGTTATCACTCAAAGGAAGGAATCTGGATGTTGATGACCTTTATTAATAGGGACACCGTCCAGGATATTGTCGGGAGTTCGCTAGATCGTATCAAGATGATTCCTTTGCGGCCACCTCTTCCAGCAAAATAAGATGACGACCGTCAGCACAATCTCGATAGCAAAGAACATTGATGCCATCTGGTACCCAATCCTGAAGTGCGGCGCCTCGCTCGTGTTGTAAATCAGCAGCGGGACCCAAGCGGAAAACGTGAAGGCCATGGTTTCGACAACGCCGATGATGATGGCTCTGTGCTCGGCATTGTGTCCACAGATCTCGTTAATCCAGGTGATAATGAGAGCGCCAGCGCCGGTCTCGCAGAATGTGAGGAACCATCCAGCCATCATAGCAGTAGTATTCTGTTCTGGCCAGACCGACAGGATGATTGTTCCAATCAACGACACCGTGGCCGCGACAATTATGAGGGGCCAGCGACTTTGGATTGCATCCGACACCCAGGCATAAGTGAGCGTGCACACGATCTGTAGCCCGTACCCGGCAGTTGGAATGATGTTTATCTCCTCCGTCGTATACAGATTAGTCGACTTAAGCCAAAGATTGAAGTAGCTGTAAATCTTGATGGCGCAGACATGGGCAATAAAGATGGCACTGAAGATCCAGACTGGCCAATTAACGGCGATGTTTCGGATTGTACGCCACGTGAGCTTCTTCAGCGGAGCACGGCCGACTCTCTCCATGCGAGAAATAGCCATCTCCCGATCCTTTACATTCAGCCAACGAGCTCTGGATGATGTTGGAGCATCTGGGATAGCCCAGTAGCCATAGAGTGCGACGGGTACTCCGATGATGCCGTCAAAGATGAATAACCATCGCCAGGCTGCAAGACCGGAGCGGCCATTCATGCCAGAGTAAAGTCCGGCTTGAAGATATCTGAGACCGTCAGCTAGTGATCGCATCGATAATTCAAAGCAGATATCTAGATCTGACGGAAAGAATATTCTTACCCCGAAAACATTTGAGCTGCACTGCTAGAGGCTTGGAAGATACAGGCACGTTTTCCCAGCTCTGTGGGAGTGTACCAGTTACCCAACAAAGTCATAATACCAGGATAGGCGCTCGCCTCAAGAAGACCGGTGAAGAAGCGCAAAACATACAAGGTCTCCACGTTTTTCGAACCAGCCATTCCCATAACGAGGAAACCCCATGTGAGCTCAAGGGTGGGAAGCCAGATAGAAGGGCGTATTTTGGTCAGCATGTATTGCGACGGGAGCTGACCTATGATGTAGCCGATGTTCCAATAAGTCGTTAAATAATTCAGGTCATTGCCAGTCATGGTAAGGTCCTCTTTCATTCCAGAGACGTATGCATTGGATACCTGGCAATGTATATCAGCTTGCTTGTTTACATACGTGTTCTCGTGGTTGGGACTTACATTGGTCTGGTCCAGATATTTTACAAAGTACGCAACGCAGCAGTAGCTCAGAATCCACCAGTCAATCTTGGCGATAAATGCACGCTCCTCAGGCGTCTTATCCCAGGAGTCCCATATGATGGCCAGGATTCTTTTGCTCAGCGGGCGTTTTGGTTCGCTGAGAGCTTCATCTTCCCCAGGGTTAGGGTTGACATTGACTGATGGAGAATATTTGACCGTGGCGGCGCGTGTTTGAGAGCTTCCCGGTTCCATCGTTGTTGAATAATAATGTACAGCTACAATGGACAAAGTTCAAAGTCTCGGCATTCCCAACTCTTGTCGCACGAGCACCAAGCCGCGTTTTTATTACTAAGAGCCCGGATATTACTAAATGAAGGATATAAAAGAAATGTGGCAGCCGGCATGCATTCAAAATCTCCAATAATGATGGAATTTTGGAGTCTGGTTTCGTCAGCTCTGGATTTCTGGGGACTCTGTCGGACTATCCCGACTCTGCAACGGTGAGATCCTGGAGGGTGTTGTTGTAAGCCTGGCGTTCACGGGCGTGAGCGGAGTTTCCCGACGGGCGATACTCGACGAGATCTCAGTAAGTTGATAAGACCGTTCCATTTGAAGTTATGGAGATACGATTGGCCTCATTGAGATGCGGCTGTTGCAGAACATTGTCGGGCACAGTCCGACACGGCAAATGGAGTGGATCTAGCACGACTTCGCCCCATACAATGACCAAGAAATGCCGCCGAAATATAAGAAAGTCCTATTGAGTAAGATGCTGGGACATCAAACGAAATCATTCGATGATGAATCATACGCCCTGTTTTTGATCAGACGCCTTTCCGTATCTTCAGATACCAGTTCACACTGACGACGATGGTTTCCGAAAGTGAAGCCCGTTCAATATATGCTTCCGCAATTCATTTTGACGGCCTCAACATAGCCAATTGGTCTCGTTCAATCTTTGAATCATGGCATGCCGGCGGCATCACCGGTGTTTCGTGCACTTGCAGTCTCTGGGAAAACTTCCGCGACAGCATATTGAATGTTGTTCAATGGAAAGAGTGGTTCGAAGAGCATAGCGATCTGATTGTGCAAGCACACAGTGTAGCAGACATCCGCCGCGCCAAGACATCTGGGAAAACTGCCGTACTGTTGAGTTGGCAGAACACATCGGGCATCGAGGATAGGCTCGAGTACCTACGCGTGTTCCGCGACCTTGGAGTCCGCAAGATGCAATTGACATACAACACCCAGAACTATAGCGGTGCCGGCTACACGGAACCCCGTGATAGCGGGCTCACCGGATTCGGACGCGAGGTTGTGGATGAAATGGCCAAGCTAGGCATCGTCTGCGACTTGTCGCATGTTGGGCCGCTTACGTCGGCCGATGTCATCGAGTACGCCCGCGCAGACAAGCCTCCCTGTTTCTCCCACGTGCTGCCAGGAGGGCTGAAGGACCATCCCCGCAACAAGTCGGATGAACTGATTCGGGCTATCGGTGCGAAAGGCGGCTTTGTCGGTCTTTCACAGTTTGGGCCGCATATGGCTCGTGGGAACGACAGCACCATTGACGATTATGTCGATGCACTAGATTATGTCATTGGCCTGATCGGAGAGGACCTGGTCGGAATTGGGTCCGATTCAAGTGAAGGTCACGGGCGGCCGAGCGACTTCATGGCATGGTGTAACAGGGACAAGGGTTATGCGCGACGGCTTACGCCCTGGGGCAGTCAAAAGGTGGTTAAACCGTTGGGGCCTTTGGCGGAGCGAGCGGAATTGGCTGTATCTATGGCGAGGAAAGGATGGAGCGAGGAAAAGATTCGTAAGGTTCTCGGGGAGAATTGGCTTCAGTATCTGGAAAAGATTTTTGGCGAATAGGTTGGCAGTCAGCCATTGCAATACACCACTCATACATGTTGGGCATGTTGGGAACATTGTCACGCTTACTCGTCACTTACTTGTCGCGATGCAATGTGATTACGATAGCGAGTAATATCATATTGTATGTGGAAGCCTCTATGACATGATCAAAGCCTTCCTCCACCACTGCCTTCATATATAAACCCCAAGTCTTCAATCGTCTTTAGATCTTGTTTGCGGCCCCCGTACCCTCTGTATGCGGCCTTGATCAATGGGAATCGTTCCCTCGTCCATGCCGCCTTGGAATCCCAGTACGGTGGCATTTTGCCTGCTCCATCGTTCTCCAGGCCGTCTCTCTTAGCCGCAGCCAAACTCCAATCATGGAGTTTATTGATATAGTTGACGTCCTTAGGGAAAGCCAGATTGTGTACAGACTTGCCCATGTTCCCGTCTTTATACGTCTCACTTTCCCAGGCTCGCATCTGAGACGTTGGCGGGAAAGTGAGTCGGCCTGCCCAGATGCGTGCAACCCAGGCACTTTGCGCTTGGGCAACTGGGAAGGGAACGATTCGTTGAGGGACACCAATGAATGCAATTGTCGGGTCATCAATATATAGAATCTGCTCGTATAGGTGTTGAACATGTGAACCGGTAGATGTGACGGGGGGGGAAAGGCTTCGGAGGAAAGGGTAGGTATAAAAGTAGCCTGTGCAGAAGACTACAGAGTCAACATTCGACTCCTCTGTGCCATCAGAGAAGTGCAGAGTTCGTCCGTTGGGCACGAATTGGACAATTTCGGGAGCCATCTTGAGTTCTGTGTTCTCATCAGAGGTAGTATTAGAAGCGGCCTTTTCTGACACGACGACAGGCCGCTGAGCAACACTTGATATCTGGATACTCAGGTCTATTCCAGACGCCGAGTTTCCAACAACAACGACTTTCTAGAATAAAAAAAGTTAGTATGCGGTTCATACTTGGTTAGGACTGGTTATCTCGCCTTGCCCCGATATTGTTCAGGGTTCCTATAGAATTTTGAGTGCGAAACTGATCGCGGATACGCTTTGCTAAAGTCGGCAAGCCCTGCAATATCAGGGATGAATGGGTCATTGTAATGGCCGCTGGCAACGAATATCGCATCGAAGAAGCTCTTTCTCCTGGTACCTGACACTAGGTCGAGAACCTCGATTTCCCATCGGCTCTGGGTGCCGTCGTTGACTTTGGCGGCGTTGAGAACCTGCGTTGAAAGGGACAGCACTGGCTTCAGGCTTGCCGCATATGCCTCGAGATACTCCTTCACAGCAGCATGAGGCGGAAATAGTGCTGATTCATCTGGGAACTTCTGATCGGAATAATTCATGAGGACATGCGGAATGTTTGTTTCAAGAGACTCATAAACGGGTGACACAAATTCTGGAGCTCCCTTTCCTTCCACTTTCACGGCAGTATCAGGGTCCTGCGATGGCTCCGTTCTCGGGATAGTGAAGTTGTTGTCAACTATATTCAACGGGCTGTAAGCCCAAACGCCTCCCACAGTATCACGCTGCTCGAAAATCTCGATTTTGGTGAATTTCCTCTCGGCGACAAGGTACCTGAGCCGTCTTGTAAGCACACAATCCCAAACTACATATATATCGGAGCGTAATACTTACTTTGCCGCAGCCAAGCCACATGGACCGGCCCCTATGACAGCTACGGACTCAATCTCCGGCTGCATTTCTCCGTCGGCAGGAGGCATGTTGATTATCAGCTCTCAACGAGAGCACTGGGTGCTGATCTGACCTCGTGTTGTAGGCGTAATGAGTCCCTGTGTCACGGTACCGGGCTGAAGGTATGCTGCTCTAGATCTAACCATTACTTGTCAGTGAAGCGTCACAACCACCTGGTCATGGTCCTGGTGTTCGCTCACTTACGGAGCAGCCTGGCCACAGCCACATATCGTGGCAGAGAAGGCACCGTACTGCAGTGGCTCTCGCAAGACCGTTGTCGGGGTTGTCCGACAACCGGGCATCAAGTGGGTGGATCTCATCGGCGTAGCTTGCCGGGGCCTGGCCTAATATTATGACTTGACGTAAGCCCTAGAACCCCGCTGATGACAAGAGAAAACGACTTCGAATGTTCGCGACTGCAATCACGCAATCCATCAATCCACTTCGGCAGACACATTGGCCGTATTATTCCCTGTGAAACGCAAGCACGGGCTGTGTCCATGGCAAATTACCAGATGGTCATCGTATCGTGGCTTCGGTCAAGAATCTCGACCGCAGCAGCGATAATGATCGCACCAAGGCCAGCATGCTTGAAACATCAGAGACACCGTCAGCGCAGCAGGTGTCCAACCTGATCCGTCTCAGAGCCCGACGCGCATCTCACACTAAGTCGGCATCGTCCTCGCTGACCGTACAACGGTCGGGTTTATCCGAAGACCTCAGAAACACTTCAAGCACTGTTGTCGGACATAGGCCAACCGTCAAGCCTCGCGACATTCTAGCTTGCGACCGATGCCGAATCTCCAAAAAGAAGTGCAGCCGCACATTCCCCGTTTGTACCTTGTGCGCGACCGCTGGGAAAAAATGCTCCTTCTCCACACCGACAACGTCGAGCGCTGCGACAGCTCACCACCTTCGCGCACGGGTCGAATGGCTGACGCGCCATATCAACAAGAGCCTCCCGGCCGGCATGCCCGATGTTGAATCCATCAACACAGGGTCTGATTTGGATGCACTGATCGAGAGCGCATCGGGAAGCTCTCCGCCCCCGGCAAATGAGGCCAATGTCGTCGGTGAAGGGGGGTTCCGGTCTAGCGGAGCTGCTCCTTCAATCCTGTTCAATCGACAAAGCGTCACAATCACCTCGGATGAAGAGTGTTCGGTGATGCCAGGCCACCTCCAGTTTGCAAAGCCCGTGGTATCCCATGGAGGCAGCCTGAACTCTCAATCGCTGCCCAGAGATGCCATCGCGCGGAAGTTTGTGGACGCCTACTTCAGGAACACGAACCGGGCATATCCCTTCGTCGACCGAACAAAGATCCTCCGAAGACTCGAGACGGTAGAAGATATACGACAGAGCCCCAATGATGCTGAACATACCCTGCTCTACCTCATCGCCGCAATCGGCTGCACGACCTTACAGCGTGCAGGGGAGGTACCGAGCGATACGACATCAAAGTTTGACATCGCATATGCATCCATCATACAAGAGTGCCTCGTCGAAGAGGATGTCCCGTCCATACAGATACTCCTACTGCTCGCGCTTTACTCTCTGTTCGATGCAGATGGAGCGCCATCGTGGTCAATCATCGGCATCGTGTCTAGAAAGGCTCTTGTGCTGGGCCTTGGTCGAAAGACGTCTGAGACGAAAGACCTCTCAGCAACCGACATCGAGCTTCGCCACCGCTTGTTTTGGAGTATATACGTCTTTGACAGGATGATGTCCATCTCGCTCGGGTATTCAGTTGCTCTCATCGATGAAAATGTAGACATCGCTCTTCCCAGCCTCACAATTGACGAGTTTGCGTCAACTGAGAAGCCATATTATGCCTCCATCTTGCAGACAAACCGCCATGTGATTCAACTGCGACAACTCGAGGATCGGATTCTCAGGGACATCCATCTGAAAAAGGCTTCCGAGATTGCCAGCATGTCGCGTGCAGACCGGCGGGCCATCCAGCAGGACATTAGAGCTAGCATAGAGGGCTGGTACAACACTGGATGTCTTGTCTCCTCGCTCGACGCAGACAATCTTCCGATTCACAGCTCCGTTACGTGGCAGAGTGCTAGGTATTACCATCTCCTCATCCTGCTGTACTACCCTTGTCACTTCAACTCTTCTATGCCGATACACACCATGGAGCTCCTTCGGTTCGCGCAGAACCACCTCCAGTCGACGTCGGCACTCTTCCAGCAGCGTCAACTGCCTTTGAACAGGGTCACGCTTTGCAGAATATTCCCCGTCGGTTTGGTTCTTCTGCACTGCTTTGCTACATCCTACTCAAGAGAGGGATGCTGCTCTGCCCGAGAGGACATTGCCATAGTAATCAACATTCTAGAAGCATTCTCACAGGGGTGGACCCATGCACACCGAGCCGCTCACATCTTTCGACAGTTCATGGCAATGGTGACTGATGTCTCCGCCGATGGTCCGTTCCATCTTTCAGCCCAGTCATACGGAAGTTATGAAAGCGTCTTACCCAAGGATCTCTACAAGGAGATGTTACGCTCAACGATAAGAGCGTTCCTGTCGCTCATGCAGGAGGTTCTTGGGCCCACCACCTGCTACTGCTTCTACAATGCACCTGACGAAAGGGACACTGATAATGAAACGGTTTCGAATTCGCGACATGCATCAGACGAGGCTGCATCTTTTCCCTACTCAGGGAGCACTGCAAGTTATCCTTCAATGCATGACGCTGTTGCATCGTCTTTGGATTATTCTTGGGAGTCAGGGGAATTTACGTTCATTTGATCCTCATTATAATTATTATCATTGTTCGCAGAATGACTGTAACCAAAAAAAAAAAAAAGAAAGAAAAAAAACGTGGAATGAAGTGGGGAAAAAAAACCGAACAGAAAAAGGCCTCCGTAATTGGGTATAAATCTATCACCATACATTCATATACTTCTCTTCCTCCGTGCCCTTCCAAACAAATTAGTTACAGTATATACATATATATATCAGCTACAGGGCTGCATCCGGAACACCTCGGCGTGGGGCATTGACCAATCCTTCTTCGTCATTATCCGTAAACTGGACGTCATAAGTCTTGTGAAAGATGATACCGGAATGCCCGTCCGTACCTGAGTTCCCGCCGCTGCTGCGGTTAGACTCGAGCCTATCCATGGAGACAACCTGAGCCGTAGTGCCGTGGACAGCAGACCCGCCAGAGGGTCCATCGGTTCCGTAATGGCGGTAAGAGGCAGTCTTGCGATAGGTAGAGCCGCCGAGGGCAGGGAATATCTTGACAAAGAGGAGGCGCACGGTCGGCAGACAGGCGCATATGACGCCGACGGCGATCTCAACAGTCGACCAAAGGGAAACGCTGAAAAACTCCCAGGTGCTGTTGGACGTAGCAGCAAATGTGATGAGGGACTGCAAACGCAGAATGCTCGTGACGGTGACGCTTGAGGAATGGCGTTAGCTCATGTGGGCCACCTTGGGGTATGTGTCGTAGCATATATCATCGAACTTACAACGTGCCAACACAGAACATTAGCGCAACGCCAACCTTCTTCTTCCAATGGAGCTGCAGGCATCGGAGCTCCCACATGGGGATAGCTAGCACCCAGAGGTCGAGAGCGATGTTGATGGCCGCATTGGACCAAGCCATGGAGTTGGCGTTCACGCAGCGTCCTTCTGTTGACCCCTCCCACCGTGTCCAGAAAGCATCAATAGGCCAGCATTGGAACAAGGCGACTAAAACAAAGGCGAGACCCCATAGCGAAGTAAAGACAAAGGTGCCCCAAAGAAGTCGTCTTGTTCTCCTCGCAGGGAAAACACGCATATAGAAGCTGATGATCGATAGCTTGACCAATGTTGTCTGCAGAAAATAGAGTATGGCCATGACGTAAAAGTATCGGAGGACGTTGGTGATTTGCTGCGCCGTCAAAGTCCAGATATCCTTTCCGAGTCCGTTGGCAGTCGTTCCATATACGATGATGACGACGCTCGGTGCGGTCGCTAACTTTGTGGCGATGATGAGCCAATCGTCAAGAGCTAGGCCAACCTTCATGATGATGATCTTGTGAACCAGACGGGCGATGACGAAGCAAGAGGCAACAATGATCATGACCTGGCTGACGATGACAAGCTCATGGGATCGGTCCCGGACGGGGGCTCCGCAGGCTGTAGTGGTCGCATTTTTCGTAGCTGGTTGTTGTCCCGTGGTTAGAATACAAGCCCGGTTCTGGTCCATCGTCACATGATACATACTGAGTGACTCGATGACAGTGCAGGATGTCGTGACGCAGCTAGTGACATTGTCTTGGAAAGCCTCATTGGTGCACATGCACTCCTGGTCTGTCAGAGCACAGAGCTTGGTAGTGGTGATTGCTTCGACAAGGCATTCTTGCTGTTTATACCATAGGATTTAAAAAGGTCAGCCTCGACTGAAGATCATCCATCGATGCAGGTACACGAGGGGGAATAAACAAGAAGCATTTCAAGGATGGCGGCAACATACAGCGCATTCCGGGTACGCGGCCAAACGGGAAGCTGCCGATGCGGCCTGGCAGAAACCCAGAAGGGATAGGCCAAGAGCGAGGAGAGAGAACCGGCCGAGAGCCATGGTTCAACTTGTCTGGAAGATGGCACGGACGAAGGGTCAGATAGACAGCATGACAGAATTATTATTACAGACACATGAGCAGGGGCGAAATGTGATCGGGAGGACGAGGGAGACGCATTTGGATTATAATTGAATTCTGGTAACCCGTACGCGGGCATTGCGTGGCAATAATGGCCCGTACCGACTGCATGCAGGCCGACCCTCGATCTGAGAGACTACAACATGACTCAACAGAGTTACAGAGCTACTGGTGTCCTCCCCCCCCCCCCCCCCCCCCCCCCCTGTTTGGGGCGTGTAAGAAGAGAGGATCATTGATACTTGTCAGCTTTTAGCTCTGAGTGGTGCGAAACGAAGGGTCCCTCATTTCACGTCCTCCAGTCATGATGCCGATCGCAGACCACAGAAAGAAGAGAGTGAAGATGGAAGACTGACGGAAAAATGGTCTTCTTGCATGAACCAGGGGGTGTTGGTTGGTGTTGATTGAGATGGAGATTTCTCTGTCGACACGGACAGCGAAATACGGAAGAGCACTTTCAGGGATGAGGCGGCTTTACATTGGGTTTCATCAGTACTGTCACCAAAGCCTAGCCACTATGCATCATGGTCTGAGAGATACTCCAAGCTGCCTTCCAGTATTAATGCATCCGACCATACTGCTGCACGTGCCAGGCCTGTTAGCTCGATGGATCAGATCTCCAGGACCCCAAAACGGGACATGGTCCGAGTGGAGGAGGGGTGGGGAGGGACTGGGGAAAAAATACGACTCCCTGAGTGCAAGGCAACTCTGCCTATCGGTCCTTTCGTGTCGTGACGAACGGTTCGGCAGCATGTTGACAGTACATCCGTAGTCTTTAATGCAATGGAAGCATAATACGAAGGAAAATATGATACTGTGAGCACTCAGACAGTCTGATGGTAGCGCGAGATTCTGTTTCAAGCTCGCCACTTGAGCCTGGTACGGCGGCATCGATTCCTAAAATCAAGTCTTAGAGAAACCATGACGAGTGAATGGGACGAGTCACGAGCGGGAGCAGACGCAAGTTGCGGTTAATACTGTATTGACGGTCAATATTACCTCCCAGTATTGTTATTGCCAAGGTCCGTGTTAAGCAGAAACGAATAGTACACATCGTACACGATAATAGTGTATCCACAGATTTTGGATGCCGGGTTACATTAGACCAACCAGTCTTTACCTCTCCTGGTTGCCTAGCAGACATGCAGCTGGCTACTCGAGACCTTGTGTCAATCATGCGGTCCAATCACTGAATGTCCCTTTTCCCTCTTTCCAGATGGCTTGACAGGAATCTCACATGGTTGGCCATAATCGGCTTTTGCAAGTCATATTTGAAACACGGCAGGAAAAGAGACGGAGAGGGCAAAAAGAAAAATATCCTTGCCGGCCCGACAGGGGTTAACATGTGTCAATCCTGAATGGCTGCAAGCATATGCGTACAGGTAGACAGGGAAAAAGCCCCCTGATGGATCAGAGTGTTCTGAGAATCTGGACGAGCTTTCAGTAAGGTGAGAATTCCCCCCTCCTCTTTTTTTTTCTTCCTCCATTTTATACAATCGTGGTCAGTGGTTCATCTTGGGAATAACAAGCTCTCCTCGTCGCGAGCTCCCCCTTGTCCAATACTACCCTCAGATACTTTCAAGGTAGGTAGGTAGACGTACAGTAGCATGTCGCATCCCTCAGTACACCGTGTCGATTGGCGTTATAACAGTATGTTTCTGCCTGTCCAATGGTAGATCCGACGATCCCTTCGAGCCCAGCATGTCCACGGTTGTAGCAACTTGATAGTCAACGTTCGTCTGTCGCGCTTCACGTCGCGTGTCTGTGTATGCCGAAGCAACACACGAGAGCTGGCCCCAGACTCAGCACTCATCACGATAACTTGGACGTTGGCGGCTGTCACTTGCAGTCTGTAGATACTCTGCATGGATCCTCCTCTAATACGGTACGGATATATCCGGTACGGATATAAATTACGACACATGGTGGAGATGGGTTTCTGCTCAAACGCGCCCAGAACATTCTGTATTAATAGTATGATACTGCATTGATACTCATGATATCAGTATAGTGCGGGGCAAAGTGGTGCTATGACAAATATCGGCGTGGTTGGCTTCCACAAACGAGCAGGGAGGTCAATTCTTTTCCCTTGTCCGGATGCAACTATTGCGAGTATTACGTCGTGTACATATTTCTCATTCATCAACCTGCATCTTTCTATTGACTATCGTTCATGGCTCATGGTACGCTTTAGCACGTAGACAACCCAATCAGTAGATATAAGCAAAACACTTTCCGGCATCAAAGCTCATGGCTAAGTCATACATTTTGATGCGGGCAATGAATTGCTTATAGGACGTGTTATATCTCAACGCACGTGGTTAGCTTTCCATCACTAAACCCATCGTCATAGTCCAACAGCAGCAATGGTGACCAAATCTTCATCATCTGTACTCGGTTTTTCGACTCTAAAGCGCGATATCAGATAGCTCAGACATACTACAATTCCCTGGTCGTACGTATCGTTTTTTTCCTCGCCATGGTAATGGTAATCTACGCAAGTATTTCCAAATTACGAAGCCGATATATAGTTGCCACAGTAGGTATTCACACCATCTCCCCTTGCATCATCACAAGTAATTGTGCAGCCAAGACCTTTCTCTCCTCCTCCCTCTATTACTAAAGTACTATGTAATATTGACATGTACGTTAGGAGGTCGATGTCGCCTGAACAGACGCGCTTCAGAATATTCCTATCGTTGCTGCTTGCAAGTAAAGATGGCAGAACCACGCATATCCTTGTACCCGGGCTTTACTCACCATCTGTAACAAGCATCTTCAGTTTGACACCTTTGTCGTTACTCATGGTGTTGTTTTGCATATCTAGCGCCGGCTTCCAATCTCAATGTGGAAGGTTGATGAGCGATTAACCTGGACTCATGATTTCACATAACCAACAGAACCCCATCGTGCCACGACGGGTTTTCTTTGCCTATGAATCTCCGAGGGGGAGTACGGCTGAATATGCATGCGATAGATGTGCCTGGGAGCTGTAATTTCCTATAATGAACAACATTTACTACCAGATATTCCATATCTACCTATATTCGTACATGTGCTCAACTGACCTTGCCTTTGGAGCCCCCGGTCTGCAAAACAGCCGAGCCCATCATTCTCATCCTGTCAGTGCCTTCCTTCACACAGCTGTAGATAGCCTCATAAATTGATTTCCTTTCCTTTTGAATAACCAGAAGCTAGACACATATATCTACCCAGGACATATACGTAGGCATAGACCATTATATTTGCGTCTACGGGTCACTGTGGGTTGTCGCCCATCAGAAGCACATCTCTATACGTATAGGGCAAAAAGCGCGCATGCACCATTTCAAAAAAAAAAAAAAAAGCCACAAACGCCCGCGTCGCTATGAGAATGACCGAAAGAAAAGACGAGAGATATCCACCAACACCCATTCTATCATGCTCATTCAACCGCAGCACACTGTGGCCTCGCCGATACCATCTGCACAAGCCAACGGCCTCAGCGCCTCGACATCGATGCGCACAACGAGCCAGTCGCACAGGAACTTGCCGAGACCCGTACCAATGAAGATGCTGATGATGACGTAGCCGTTGCAGTACATGACGAGAAGCATGACCATGTAGGCACCGCCAAAAGTGATCGAGTGAAGAAGCGCACGGATGGCCTGCTGGAGGAAAGACGCACGGTAGGCGACAACAGGCCGGATGGGCTCGGACGAGGACTCGCATGACTTGGCCAGGATCCTGGGGCCTTGGATGGCGGCGTGCCGTTGAAATTGACGAGTGAGAAAGTCATCGTACTCTCTCCCCAGACGACGCGACGCCTCGACGAGCATGGAAAGCAGTATCACGCCGATACATGTCGCTGCCATGATGCCGCCGCTGGTAATCTGCCATGATGACGAGATGAAGCAAGAGCCTACTGTGTTCCAATTCCACAGCATCTGGTATGTTGGTTTTGTTAGTAGTCTGTTATGGCTTTCCTCATCCGCTGAAATCCTTCTTCTCCCTCTTCTCTTGAATGAAGCTTACCGGAACACTGCAATCGCTGGAGCCATGATCCATATCCATCTTGGATGATGCGAACTTGGGAGTCTTACTACCGGGTAGGCAGAATTTGACGATGACTCAGCCTAGGTAGGTACATGTACATACAAGCTGTACATACAAGCACGCTGGGACAGCCAGAAGAAGAAAAAGAGGGAAGAGAACAGGCAACGGAACCCGGAGCAACGGTCTGTTTTGTTTTCGGGGGGGGGGGGGGAGAAACAAGGATAAGAAGAAGGTTGATGAGAGGCATTAAAATCTAGACTCTAGACGAGGATTGATCTAGACACGAACTTACTGTTGAGCATGTTTCTAATAGATTCGCCATCATAGGAAGAGTCGGAAACTATCGACATGCATCCTGAGCCTCTCTCCACAGAGGAATCCACTAATATTTCGTTGTGGAGAAATGTTAAAACGAAGAAGCAAACTGATTGATGGAAACTTGCTCATTTCTGCTCAACTTGCTCAACCATGAAAATTTAGCTTGTTTCTTTTGATCCTCTCAACTCCATCAACAGAGCCACCAAGGGACGTGATGGTATTCGTAAGGATATCACGTATTACGAGTATCGCCTCTTAAGACCCTGTCGCCATGGTCCCCTCATCGCTGGCGCCGCTGGGGTTCCTCCTAGAGCCTCCTCACTGGACAGAACACTGAAATGTGTTTGATAAGAAGAGGGTCAATTCTCCGGTGACATCTCGTCTTGTACGTATCTGCCCTTGACGAAGCAGTGGGGATGCGAAACGCCACCCCGCGACAAACTGCCTCATGAGAAACGACTTGATATAGCTCGCCGTTTCTTCTTCTTTCTTCCTCTTCTTCTCCATAGCACAACCGTCTTCTGTGGTACCCTCTTCCTCCAGCTCGGTCTCAGTAGGCTGTCTGTGATCCCCTCGACAATGGACGCCGCCGCCCACTCCATGGTCCATCATGTGGCCCGTCACATCCAGGAACACACCTCAGACACTGTCGAGGTCCCTCATTGGGGCTACGCCAGCCGAGTTGTTCCCTGCACCAACGATGCCGGATCGTGCGAATATCTCGACGTGGTGTACTCGTCCCACGATGTCGGCATGGTGTACATGGGCATCTTGTGGCTGACAATTCTCGGCGTCATCTTTGGCTGGGCCATTCTGCGCCACGTATCTCGCCCAACGGCAACATTCCCCTCCGAAGCCATCGCCAAGGTTGTCGATCAGAGTGACGAAGAGCAAGGCCAGAGCCAAACCCGGCAACGGTCGTCTGCTGGTGGCCTGTCCAGGGTCCTTCGCTCTGCTGGAGCCCTCGCCAGACGCCACCTCCTTCCTGATTCCATACACGCAATTTTCGGGCGCACGTCGCGGTTCCAGGTCGTTGCTCTTGCGGCGTTTACGGCCTACCTGACCATCTGGACGTTTGTCGGGATCACGTACAAGACGTGGATGACGCCCGTCTCGGGCTCGCCCGGCCTCTACAACCAGCGCAGTAGCCTGGGTCCTTGGTCTGACCGCCTGGGCGTCATTGCCTATGCCTTGACGCCCCTCTCTATCATCCTCGTCAACCGCGAGTCTATGCTGTCGGTGCTTCTAGGCGTGCCGTATCAGAGCTTCAACTTTCTCCACCGCTGGGTCGGCTACCTCATCTTTGTCCAAAGCGGGCTGCATACGATTGGATGGTGCATCATCGAGCTGAACTTCTACCAACCCCAGCCCCGCGTCGGCATTGAGTGGGTGTCCCAAGGCTATATGATCTGGGGCATCGTCGCCATGTTCCTTCTCACGGTTCTGTTCCTTCTCAGCACACCTTGGGGTATCCGTCTTACGGGCTACGAGGCCTTCCGCAAGATGCACTACGTCCTAGCCATGGTCTACATGGCTGCCTGTTACTGCCACTGGAGTAAACTGAGGTGTTTCATCATCCCGGGATTTGTCTTTTGGGGCTTGGACCGCGTCGGCCGCCTGGCCCGTTCTTTCTTGCTGCACTACACCCACATTCCTTCCGGCGGTATGGCTTTCCGCCCAGCCCAGGCAGCCATATCCGTCTTCCCGGACGAGGAGCACGGCCACATTGTCCGTCTCGATATTGAGAATGACCAGGACGCGTGGACCATTGGCCAGCACTTTTACTTGACTTTCACCGAGTCCAGCATCTGGCAGTCGCACCCCTTCACACCCATCAACGCACCCATTGTTCGCAACGGCAAGGTTCACCACACCTACATCATGCGCGCCAAAGGCGGCGAGACCAAGAAGCTGGCTGATCTGGCAATGACCAAGGTTGCCGGCCTTTCTACCGGCGAGAAGGATGCATCGTCAGAGGGCGGTGATGGTGCTATTGCCACAACGCCAGTCATCTTCACGGGGCCCTATGGCGAGAAGAGCATGTCAGGTGTCACCCCCACGACCAACATCATGTGCATCGCTGGTGGCACCGGTATCGCCTATGTGCTCCCTGTTCTACTGGAGCTTGCCCGGCAGCCCTTGTCTCCGACGCGCCGTGTCGAGCTGATATGGGCTGTTCGTCATGCTAATGATGCCGCGTGGGTGCAATCAGAACTTGACGAACTACGTCGCATCCAGAACGACCTCAACCTCAAGATCCGCCTGTATGCGACGCGCGACGCCTCGGCTAGCTCATCCTCGTCGGCTGCGGGAGACATCTCCAACACGGATGACAGCGACAGTGAAAGAAAAATTGGCAAGACGGCAGACTCCAAAAACGTGAACGTGACTTCATCGTCGTCATCCGTTGCCGATTCGAGTAGTCCCAATCCCGGCTGCGGCTGCGGCGACGGAAACCCCCTACCGGTGCGTAAGACGGGAAACCCCAATGCCGATGACGACGTCAGGCATCCCGATCTGGATAGACTAGTCCGTGGCTTTGTCGAGTCTACGGCCGACGGTCCGACGACTGTCTTTGCCAGTGGGCCTGGTAGCATGATTACTAGTCTTCGGTCCATTGTTGCCTCGTGCAACTCACCCTCCATGGTCTGGGCCGGAAAGGAGCGGGGAAGTGTACGCCTCATGTGCGATGATCGCCTGGAGTGGTGATTTCCAACTACTCGAAGCATTTCAGCTTCATATATAGTGTATTTTTGTCCTTACTTGGCGTTGCATCTTGATTGCATCAGTATACCCCGCTGGCATATCACATCCCTGTATATATTAATACATGCAAAGTGAAAACAAACTAACCCTGCATATCCCTCATGGTATCCCTCTCTCGTATTTCTTGCACATGCATACAAACAGCCTTTGATCAAAATATGTGCTACACACCTTTGTTTCCCATCTTCGTATTGCTGCTTCTAGTATGTTGCATGCAGCTTTCTGCTCCCCTCTCCCAGCACCGATGGTGCGGTATGTTGCTTCTCCCCTTCAAATCTACATCCTCATTCCCTGGTGACGTTTGCACGGCATTGATAGAGCATGTTTGCCGATATAACAACAAAACGAGTCTCACGGCAATCAATGTGAAGCGAACCGAAGTTGGTACAAAGCCGGCTCAGTGACTACCGTAAGAAGCTGTCTTCTCCGCACTACGTATTACATGGCACCGGGGCCCCACAACAAGCCATTCAATAAATGCATGCTCGTACACAGAGGGCCCGAGAGGGTAAGCAGATGGGGGCAGTTCGGCGGTAAAGATCGGCAGCGAAGCTCAATATCGCGTGTTTGCCAAGGGTCAAGGCCAGCAAAGCCTGTTGTTCGAGCATATGTATGCCGCCCGGCTGATTGGCCATCCTGCCCTCCATCTCCTTGCCAGATCCATTTCCGATGAAGACGGGGGAAGTGCGTGTTGTCGTAGTTGACGTCGTGATGCTGGGTAGCAGGTACCGTGCGCCATAAGCATGGGATGATGCACCCCCGCACTATACTAGGGATCGTCGGCAATGTTTTGCTTCCTTGCATTACTTGCATCGATGTAAGGTTACGAGAGCAGATTAACTCAGGGGCCCGCACCGCGCGCAATGGACCGACAGAAAAAACATGAAACCAAAGGGCGTCTAGGGCTCCGTGTTAGATGCTCCCACACAGCTAGCTGCCCTAGACCCTTGCTCGGACCGACGAAGGTCGGCCAGCTAAACAGGGACCAGCTCCACGTCCATGACCGCCGTTATTGGACCAGAGAGGCACATCGTGGAGTAGAGGCAATTGAAGACCTGGGGAAACGACACGAGGGAATATTCAGTCATATGCCGTGCCTACTCCGAGCCCATATACCCGTCCTCGTACCACTCTATAGTTTCTATATCCGTACTAGCTGTCTGAGCTCACCATAGATGTTTCCCCTACAGGCCACACTGGACTCCATAATCTCCGTAAAGCCAAGGAGGATCGACATCGGACCCAGCAGCCCGAACAGGAAGGCAGGTACCACAGTGGCCAGTATATTTATTACCATCACGTCAGCCGTCTTTTCGCTCGGAATCCTTTTGTCTATGGCCACATTTGTCTCAGATAGAACTTGCCATTTGTCGTCACGACAATCCATTTTACTTGCTTTCAACATGGTTCGCTTTGCTTCTTCCACGTCCATTCTCTCCTCCCTTCTTCGGCTGGCGACGCTTGGTCTCGCCGCCACCGCCGCCGAATGGAAGGATCGCAAGATCTACTTTGCTCTGACGGACCGCATTGCCCGTACTGCCGACGATGCTGGCGGTGATGCCTGTACCAGCCTTGGCAACTACTGCGGCGGTACATTCAAGGGTCTTCAGGGAAAGCTTGACTACATCAAGGGCATGGGATTCGACGCCATCTGGCTCACACCCGTTGTCAAGAGTGAGTTAGCCTTCTGTCGGACAAGTGCAGCCGAACTCTGCATGCTAACTTCTGCTAGACTCTGACGGCGGCTACCACGGATATTGGGCCACCAACCTCTACGACATCAACGAGAACTACGGTACCGCTCAGGACCTCAAGGACCTGGTCAGCACCGCCCATGAGAAGGTGCGCCCCCGATTTATATGATCCCGTTTGTTTTTTTATCTTTATATGAGAATAAAACATGTTGACAATGATACAGGGAATCTACATGATGGTCGACGTTGTCGCTAACCACATGGGCGACGGCGACATTTCGACCTATAGCCCCGAGCCGCTCAATAAGGACAGCGCCTACCACTCTGAGTGCGAGATTGACTACAGCAACCAGAACTCGATTGAGAACTGCTGGATTGCGGGACTTCCTGACGTCAACACGGAGTCTTCTGATGTTCAGGCTGTCTTCTACGAGTGGATTGGATGGCTCGTCGAGGAGTATGGCTTTGACGGCGTTCGCATCGACACTGTCAAGCACGTCTACAAGGAGTTCTGGAAGCCCTTCTCCGAGGCTAGCGGCGTCTACACCATTGGCGAGGTCTTTGATGGCGGCGTCGACTACCTTGCCGGCTATGATGGTCTCTTGGGCGGCCTGCTCAACTATGCCGTCTACTACCCGATGAACGAGTTCTACCAGCAGACTGGCACATCCCAGAGCCTCGCCGACATGATTGACGAGGTCAGCGAGAAGTTCGCCGATCCCACTGCTCTCGGAACCTTCCTCGACAACCACGACAATGCTCGCTGGCTCAGCACCAAGAACGACAAATCTCTACTCAAAAACGCCCTCGCTTTCGTCATTCTCTCTCGCGGTATCCCTATCGTCTACTATGGAACTGAGCAGGGCTACTCTGGTGGGGCCGACCCCGCCAACCGCGAGGATCTCTGGCGCAGCAACTTCAGCGAAGACTCCGACCTGTACACGGCCCTCACCGTCTTCAATGAGGCTCGCGTTTCGGCCGGTGGTCTCGGCGGAAATGACCACAGGCATCTGTCCACTGAGGATGGCGTCTACGCCTGGTCCCGCGCTGACGGTATCCTCATTGTCATCACCACCAACGGAGGCTCCGGTAGCAGCGGTGACAGGTGCGTCGCCTCAGGTATCAACAATGGTTCCTGGAATATCCTTTACGGTGGATCCGGCAATGCTACTTCTGATGGCAGTGGCCAGCTCTGCGTGAACATCCAGGACGGTGCTCCCGTCATCCTACTGGGTGCCTAGATCAGGAAGAAATAAGATGAGTATACGAGTAGCTCTAGTGTACAATACTGATTCGCCACGTACAATGCGTTGCATTTTTTTGAATGAGTTTCGATTCTTGAGTTGAATATTTCTTACTTTACTATCATGTACCTCAACCTCAAGGATCGGAATAGAGTAATTTGAAGGCAAGGCGATGTGGGAAGATGAGATATAATAATTTCAATATATACAAAGAGAGATGATGTAACGAAAACAAAGAACACATTTTCAATAACACATTTTCAATAAGAATAATCTAACGCCCTGACGAATAGCAAGTCCAGTAGGTACCCAAATAGGCAATTCACCGCTTGTATCAATCTCAAAGAAGCAAGTTTTCGAACCTTTATCCATTCCAAACCAATCAATTCCAACCAAAACAGAGTCCAATGGCAATCTCTGATAAAATTCCAAGAAAGAAATACTAACTATGTCCAGAGAAAACCAGGTAGACTTAGATACAATGCAGAGGAGAGTGGGGTTGCCAACGATGCCAGAGGGGGGATATAAGAAATAAATCAAGAGAAACAGAGTCCACTGCATATATGCCAGTGCCGAAATTCGAAATCAAAGGGGCCATGAAGAGAGAAAAAAAAGAAGACGTGCGAAGGTGGAATCATAAAAGGAGATCGGATACATCAGGCCCAGCATGGAGGTATCAAAAAGAACAAATGCAGGGGCTGTGAAAGCAAGGGGTATGTGCTGTGGGTGAGTGGAGGGAAAAAGTGGGAAGACGGAAGGGAAGGGGGTATTAAGAAAGAGGAGCGAGATGTTTAACTGTCCCAGATTGCACCGTAGGCGGGCATTCCACGGCTCTCGAGGCCGTAGACGACCTTCTTTGTGATCTTCTCATTGGCAATGATGATGACAGCCTCGGCGTTGAAGCCCTTGGCCAAGTTGTAGCCCATCTTCACAAGATCAGGGCGACCGAGCTCCTTGGTGTTGTGGATGATTGCTCCGGGGACTTTCTCGCGAATAGTGTTGACCAGTTTGGAGCCAAAAGTCTTCTCAGGATTAGGCGTGGACCAGATGAGCTGGGTAGGGCAAGACTGGTTCTGAAGGTGTCCGAGGAGAGGGCCGATACCAGAGCCCGTGGCAATGACGACGACGCGGCGGAAGAGGGTAGCAATGCGCATGACACCGCACGTGGGGACGCCACGGACCCAGATACTGTTGGGCCCGTCCTTGATGCAGGACTTTGTCCAGTCGCCCGCGTTCGAGACGATGAGGGAGTAGCCGGCCGGACGACCACTGTCGGGCTCGCGGGCAGGAATGGTGGCAAACGAGTGCCACTCCTTAAGCGGGGCGGTCGACAGACGAGTGAAGGAGCCGTTGACAGGGACCGTGTAGTCAAAGTGGAGACGGACGGCGTGGTCGGAGAGAGTCTCGGCTTCAACGCGGACCTTGCGCAGCCAGAACCACGATGAGGCAACGCTGAAGGTGGCGACGAGGAGCATCCAGAAGGGTGCGGAGACGACGCAGGCCTTTCCGAGGCTTGTCGTCGAGGGCTGGCGCGTGTCGTTGGCAGTCAGAACAACCTGGACCCAGAACAGAGCGAGCATGGTCCAGCCAACGAAGCGGTGCGTGCTCTCGAAGCTGTCGTGGTACTTCTTGCGTATGGTAGGGTAGGCCATGGTAAGCATGGCGCAGAACAAGGCAGTCAAAAGCCAGGAGACGACTTTTCCGGCGACGGACTGCTGGCCCCACGTCCCAGAGCACTTGTCAGTCACCATGCAGGCAGCGTCACCAATGTTGTTGGCCAGGAGCCACAAGGCAGCACCGACTCCAGCGCCCGAGTGGACGCCGCCAAAGTGGTAAATGAGGGCGGCCCTCTTGCGAATTTGCAGGGGCCACGACCTAGGCAGGCTACAGGCGACGGTGTAGAGGGCGTTGATGACGAAATCCTGGCGGGCGAGGACGGCGAGGAGCAGGTTGAGAGCCGTGAGGATGCCGAGCCACTCTCGCGGGAAGCCAGAAAAGATGATGCCGAGGGCGGCACCGATGTTCAGAAGACCCATGATGGTAAACAGGCGACGGTAGACGATGAGGATGCGGTAGCGAATGCCGCGGCTGCGCTTGCCCATCTTCTTGTCCGGGATGCCGGCCTCGAGGTCAATCTCGAGGGCCTTTTCATCGGGAACAGAGAGCGTAGTCGCTGCCGAGGGGCAGTCGGACTCGGAGGCCACGGCCGTGCCCATGGAGGAGGAAGATGACTTGCGGCCATGGTTGGAGGCAGTCCTGGCAGGCTTCTCGATCTCGGTAACGGTCGCCACAGACTTGACCAGCTCCTTCTCATCAACGGGGGTAGTCAAGGTGGCCTTGAGGGCACGCTTGTCAATCTTGCCATTGGCCGTGAGGGGGAGGGCGTCGAGGGCATGGAAGACGCTGGGGACGGCATAGTAAGGCTGGGAAAACTTGACGTGCTTCTTGACCTTTTCCGTGTCGCAGGTGGCCGGGGTGACAAAGGCGTGGATTTCATTGTCGATGAACAGTGCGGTAGCCTGTTCAACCTCGGTGCTGGAGTTGAGGGAGGAAGTCACCCCGTCTAGCTCGACGCGGAAACCTTTAATCTTAATCTGGTCATCCTGGCGGCCGAGAATATCAATGGAGCCGTCGGCAGTCCAGCGCCCAATGTCACCAGTGTTGTACATCATGGAACTATCCGCATTTGTCAGTATTCCGTAAAATTGCTCGTAGTTCTTATGCCGTGTCTTGAAATCATACCCCTGCATTTTGCGGGGGTGGGATGCCAAACATACCCATCATTGGCGAAGGGGTCAAGGATGTATCTCTCGGCGGTCTTGTCCGGAAGATTAATGTAACCACGAGACACACCCCAGCCTCCAGCCCACATGACACCCGGCTCACCCGCGTTGACGGGACGGAGGTTATCATCGAGGATGTAGACGTTGTTGTTGGGCGTCGGCTTTCCAATGGTTAGAGGCTCGCCGGCCTGGTGGCGATGCATCGTATTGACAATGGTAGTCTCCGTCGGTCCACAGCAGTTGTAATAAGTTCCACTGGTGGCCCAAGTATCGGCAAGCCTGTTTTACAAGGGGTCATTTAGTCAGTCTCGTTCAAGATGTGATTTGCAACTGGTTTGGCGTTGCTAATATAAGCCTTACCTCTGAGAACTGGGCTCTCCTGCCGTTGCCACCGTCTTGATGTTGGGAAGCTCATGAGGCTCGTATTTGGCGACAATGCTGGGGGTCGCAATAAGAACATCGACCTGTTTCGAATGTTAGTCTTCCTGCTTCTTTTTTTTTTTTCGTTCCGCCTCAGTCCGAGCTCATTTCTCGCTCTCTTGATGGCTAATGGAGTTGACAGAAAGCTTGGATGTAAGAAACCGTTGCATACCTGTTTCAAGGCTTCGAGCCAGTCGGAGCCTCGGAGAACAAGGGTACCGCCGTTGCAGAGGCAGCCAAGGATCTCCCACGCGGCTATATTTGGCTATCGTGTCAGTTAAGATCCTTGTAAAACCTTCAAGACCCCCCCCCCCCCCCAGAAAAATACTTGTATTAATGACTTACCCATGTCAAAACTGACATTGAGCACCTGCCCAACTCGGATACCGCTGGTAATGCCCAGATTCCCCGGGGCGAGACACAGGAGGTTGCAGACATTCTTGTGAGTAACATTAACACCTTTCGGGGTGCCAGTTGTTCCTAGAGATGATACATGTCAGCCAACTCGTACGAGAGCAATCAGGTGGGTCGGCCGCTCTTTTTCTAATCTTGGTGTTCCCCAGTAGCGCTAATAATGCAAGCGACAGACAAGAGACAGGGAAGAGGAGAGAGAGAGAGAGAGAGGCCCCAACAGGCTCTACTCGTAAAAAAACTCACCAGAAGTGTAGATGACGTAGCAACCACCATCGGGGGATGCATGGTTTTCCGGGCGGAGGGTCTGTTGGCTCTGCTGGTCGTGCACATCATCGATGCAAACGACCTGGCCGACCTCGCAAACATCCAGGCGGTGACGGGTGGACTTGATAGCCAGAACGGTGCAATTCTTGCCCCCGGCCTGGCCCGTAACAAAACGGAGGGTCGAGTCGGGGACCACCCCGCCGTCCAGAGGTACATACTGGGCTCCGCATGCAAGGATGGCAATGATACCCACGAGCATGTCAATGCCCCTCTTGACAACGAGGGGAACCCTGGCACCGGGTCCAACACCCATGCCACGCAACTTGGAGGCCAGGATAGTGCTACGTTTTGCTAGCTCGCCGTAGGTTGCCTCTCGGCCTCCATTGGCCAAGTCCTTCGCGGCAATGGCGTTGGGCTTCGTGGCAGCATGATGGAAGAAGGCCTCTGTGACAGTCGAGAAGGCGGGCTGGGTGCGGATGCCGAAAGAGTAGGATAGGGGTCCAGCCGGTAGTCCAGCTGCCAGCCCGGGGAGAGGAGAAGTCATCGACGCCATCGTAAAGTGTCTTGATATATCGGAAGATGGCACTTGTTGATAACGACGACGACGACGACGGTCAATTGCAGTGTGAGACTGAAAAGGAGGTGGGAGAGCTGGGTATGATGAGGGTAGATGGGTAGATGTGTGTCTATGTCTTGGGATGCTTGACGATGTAGAGTGATGCGGTGAGGTGAAAGAAGGGTGAGGTATGGTGGAGAGTGGAGGGTCTTGGTCCGTTGATACTAGGAGGAGGAGCAAGGCGTGGTACAAGTCAAGGACGAGGAGACAAGTTGGGGGACAAGAGGACAAGAGGAGAGCATCTTCGTACACAAGAAGCTATGCAACCCGGGAGGCTTTTATACTTTTTCTCTCTCCCACATCAGTCCCATACGTCTCAACCCGAGAAGAGGGGAGAGGTGTCGACGGCTTAGGTCCGGTGCCTAGTATGTAATCAGGGTCCATGATGATGTCCTTCTATCCCACCTCCAATGGTGTCACACCCACATGTTTCCTGCTACCCGACTAGGATAGTGGGATCAAGCAAGGGAGGAGGTCGAGCACGAAGACACCAAGGCATAGTGTCCGAGGGCCGGAGCGGAGGAGGAGCGGGTACATCCTAGACTGCCTCCAAGGTTCCCATCCAACCGTCGAGACTAGAGGGGGGTGTGGGATTCCGTGATGGTCCGCATCAGCTACCGTCTGGATGCATTATGCCCTCTCGGTGTCTCCATCTTTCGCCTCCGCGAGTTGGCATATACTACACACAGTGTGGTGGTTGTGGCTTGACTTGCTCTTTCTTGCTTCCCAAACAAGGTCAGCCCTGCATGCCCCCCCCCCCCC